GACGAGTGCCAAGTAGCACGGAACCTGGGTCCAGGGTTTCCTGTTGACTACCTCCAACCACCATCTAAATCACAAGTATCTTATGCTTAAAAAAATAAAAACAACCAATATCATAGAAATTTTGATATCAGTATTAGTTTTGGTTCAAATTAGAAAGTTAATTGATGTTTGTGTCGGTTAGATGTCCGTATATATTTATTTACGATCACATTTGTACCAGTATGCCAACTGAAGGAACAAAAATATGATCACGGAGAGGAAGAATCCCAACACAATTTCCAGTTAGTTCGTTAAGTTTATTACGGTTTACTTGGTTACAGGAGATGTACTCAACCTCGTCGTTACCTAAATGTGATAGAACCCAGTAATGCTACCAATGAATATAAATTGTTACAAAAAATTTATTTCGTGCGTAAAAATAGTAGTACCTACATAAATCTATGCAGACAGCTGACAGCGATTTGTTAAGTTTGATTATAACCGTGAAAGATATGCTCTACTCTCAATGCTTCGATGTACAGTAAACCAATTATTCGTAGTCATATTTACTGGTTGATAGTTGTACGTATAAGGTAGAGAACAACTTATTTGAAATATACTGATTATAAGTTGTTGTGATCGATAAAACTTATGTAGCGCAAGTATAGGTGACATGGTGTGCGATGCTTTCGGCTAAATAAGTATCTATAAAGCGATAAACTGTGTGTGCTGCGCATGTGATTACTATATCCACGTCCTCATAACGAACGAAGTGTATTGTTACTGACTTTTTTCAAATGTCATGCCATTACTGGTGGAGAAACAGTGATACAGGGATCCGTTTGTCCGACATTTGAGACAAGTTCGTTCGTTGGTACAACAATATTGCGGTGATGTCAATAAAAATTATATAAACAACGATAATAATATATGAAAATTATCTTTGACATATTCTCAGCGATTGAAATTTAACTAATCCCAACGTTTCGTCCAGCTAACTTGTCTGAACTTCTTCAGGGTAATAATCAAAATATAATCAAAATATAGCTTTTTAACAGTCAAAATAATACGGTGTTAAACCAATCATATTTGAATGTTGATTTTTTGTAAAATAGGATAAAATGAGTCAGCGAATGAACTGAGGAATAAAATAATGAACACATTATTACATCAGAAACCTCATAACCCTATCATAAATAAAAATGAATATTACGCACTAAAACATCTGAGAGATGACAAAACGTTCATAATAAAGAAAGCAGATGAAGGTAATACTGCAGTTATTATGAATAAAACAGAGTATGAGAAGAAAGCCAAGGAACATCTACAAGAGGGTCCATATGAACAAATCAAAGAATCAAAAAGCAAAAAAACTTAATAAACTGAAGGCAGAAACTAGCAAACTCTTACAGTCATTAAAAGCTAAGCTAAGATAGTCCTTATGGTTTATGTTATATCCAAAGAGTTGTAACCCATGCAGATTTTATGGACTACCAAAGATCCACAAAAATAATACTTCACTAAGACCGGTGGTAGACTATACAAATTCACCGGCTTACAATCTAGCTAAATATTTAGCTAAGATTCTCAAGCCATATGAAAAACGGATTAATCATGGAATTAAAACTATGGAATTCAAGAATTTAACTGATACCGTCGAGATAGAAGAAGATGAAATGGTGGCAAGTTTTGATGTATCTTCCTTATTCACTAATGTACCTATCAGTCGAGCTATGGATATTATCAATGATTGTTCAGAATGTGGCTTAGATTTGAATTTACGATGCTCATTAGATACATCGGCGGTTATGTTTAAGATCTGCCTTATTCATATTTCGAGATCAACTTTACGGACAGAAAGAGGGTATAGCAATGGGCTCAGCAGCTTCTCCGATTGCAGCGAATTTATTCATGCATTCCGTAGAAGCTAGTGCAATCTCAAAAAGTGTATGTCCACCAAAGTTATGGACATGGTATGTATACGATATATTTACTATTAATAAACGGTATGGTCTGAAAGAACTATTTAGCAATGTAAACAACATTTCTGAAAACATTAAACTAACTAAGGAATTAGAATCAGTTGATCACAAACTAGCGTTTCTAGATTGTTTGGTTGAACGTCGACACAATAATAAGAAGTTAAAAATAAATGTTTACAGAAAATCAACACATTCCGAGAGATACTTGGATTTTAATTCAGCCCATTCACAGAGCACGAAAATTGATGTGGTAAAAATCTAATGAACAGAAGTACTAAGATTGTTACAGACAAGGAAGACCAACGAACCGAATTAAATAATTTCCTACTCTTAGGGATGAGAACTACCCAAAAAGTTTTTTAAAGACTAATAAAAATGAAAGAAAAACTAAACTAGAAAGTATACGAAAAGGATTGAAGTACACCGTAGTCATACCTTACCGTAGTGAAACATCAGAAGAAATCAAACGGATTCTAAACAAACATGATATAAAAGTATATTTTAGAGCAAATAACACATTAAGATCGACATTAGTGGAAGTTAAGGACAAGTTAGCAAAGGAAGAACAACATTGTGTATGAGATTCACTGCCAAGACTGTAATGCTACCTATGTTGGAGAAACATCCAGGCAATTGAATGTAAGATTGAAGGAACACAAACAATGCTTGAAAAATGTTCAAAAATCCTCGGTCGATTTAAAAAAACTTGAAAATAAGTCAGCGATAGCGTTACATGCGTTAGAAATAGGACACAAGGTTGTTTTTGAAGGAACCAAAATACTCCAGAAAGGTTTTAACACCCATAAAGAAAGATTGACAGCAGAAGCTCTGCATATATGGGCGAACAAGAACAGCCTGAACCGAAAAGATGGTATTCAAATGGCGACTACCTGGCAAATTTCGTTTGACAAGTAAATTTGGAACCTATCTCTTGTTTAAACCTGTTTTTAATATCACATGTATCGTTATTATTATTGAAAGAACTGAATGAGTTTTTAAACAATACAATTTATGTTTTGACATCGATCTTTCATTATCAAGTTTTCGTCCTCCAACTTGAACTTTATTTATTCCTTCATATCAATCTCTCACACATACATACATACCTGCACACTCACACACATACGATTTGTTACTCAGTTAAGTGTTTCCATGTAGTTGAATTCATCATATGATTTGTAGTTAACTGACTCATTTTATCCTATTTTACAAAAAATCAACATCCAAATATGATTGGTTTAACACCGTATAATTTTGATTTTTAAAAAGCTATATATTTCTTTGATGATTTTGATTATTACCCTGAAGAAGTTCAGACAAGTTTGCTGGACGAAACGTTGGGATTAGTTAAATTTCAATCGCTGAGAATATTTCAAATATAATTTTCACGTATAATGACCTCTCTAAACTCGGCGCTCAACTACTATCAAACTATTGGTTCTAATCTTGATGAATATTCGTATAAACAATAATAATGCTTAATATCTTCCATAATGTCTTTGGATATCCTCACTGATTCTGGAATCCAACCACAAACTACAAAACTTCAGATGCAATACAACGATGAACGAGAGTGATATGGGAGCATTGGCACGAGAAGACAGAATGTTGGCACGACCAAACAAGATCAGTGGATCAACAGCTCGACTTCCTCGCCAGGATTGGATAGTGTTTTGCTTTTTCACTCACTTGCTTGACCGACAAACGTTACCTTGTTAATTAAAATAATGAAATTATTGGTGGATCTTCCACACTGTCATTATGTATTTCGGGCATTCCACAAGCCATTTAGTCACTCTTATGAAGTGGTGTTTATGGTGATATACACAACGTTTTTGATTTACTTTTGCATTATATGTTAAGTCGGAGTCCATATTTCAAATAAAAGGCGGATATGCATGAACGAAATCATTGGTAGGGTGCCGATACAGTGAAGCGTCTCACTGATCTGCCTTATGAAACTAGACTAAGACTCTTCAGCCTATTCCTGCTATTTTACCTCATATTACGAGGTAATTTGCTACTCCATTATCGTACATTAAGTGACGATTTCGGGTACATCTTTTTCGTTTACCACTGATCATTTGGTAGGGGATTCGCCGAAAGTCCCTTGACCGACACCACATAATCTACTTACAGGTTTTTGTTACAGAAGTCGAGTGGCAAATATTGGAATTCCCTACCAGAAAATGTTATTTAATGCAACTAAGGTCCATGAAAAGTGACATAGTTTGAATGACATCTCACTCTTACCTCTGAAGACTACCTTCGAAGTTATGTTTCAAGAAGAAATGAAGTCATTTACCAGAATAACCTTCTTGACGTTTGTAGATCACCAACATAGATGGTCTGTATCGAACGATTAAGGCCCTACTAGAGTTAGGCGGTAAGGGTGTGACCGACCAGATAACGTCGAGGTTACACTTCATGGTCAGTATCTAGTATGGATTACTCATTTGTCGTATCCAGTTACTATGGCTACGTTGACTGTTGTACGACATGACGTTATTACAAAAATATACTTGTAAGAGTAGGTACAAGGAATCGAGTACGACCACCACTGAATGAGCCAGTCCATGGCATGGAACTCACTGGTGTGCATTGATTGTTTTTGGCTGTGAAAGAGATCGGTAAACCGTTCGGTATTCGGTGACCCGACTGCTGAATGATTTGGTTAGATTCAGCGACATTTTACTGACTCCACACGTTAATTCATAGGGTTAGTTCGAATTTTATGAAAAGTTGTAGAATAATCACGAGATATCTAAGGCGTATATGCCTGACACAAAACCTAGATGTCTCCAACGTATTACTAGTTTTAATTTAGCCCTACATTAACCGTGGTAATCGAACGAGAATTTTCACTACGCTCATCTAGTAGTCTTCCAGATAGCTTCCAATAAACTAAAAAGAAGACAGTATGCTTGTTAAAAACAAATTCAATCTATCAAGCGGACACTAGAGCTACAAATCGTGATTTTGTGTTTTGTTTTACGGAAGCAAAAGAATGTACAATCTCAGCTTGGTACTTTAAAACAAATGTCTTCGAAGGCTGTTTACGAAGAATCTGCTAAGCTGCTTATATACAACTCGATATGCTACTCTAAGTTAGCGAAAAATCCACTTCGCGTAGTTAAAGTGGGTGATGATGTTAGTCTAGTGACAGATGAATGGATATTACTTAATGTATGGAAGATTTTTAATATTTGCTAACATATGTAGGATCTTGTCAGTAAGCCCGATGTCCTCATAAAACGCAGGGGAAAATTGGGACTAGTTTTTGCAGGCTTCCATTGGGCGGATTTACAGGGGAAAATAAATAGTTTGTTGGCGAGCAAATTCACGGTAATTACATTTAGTTGTTTCTTCACATTAAGAAAAAATCTTTTTTATGGGAATGCAACGTTATTAAAAGTACTCTAGAGGTTATTACTTTATGCTTTGTTGTTTCTAGGTTCTTCATTTTAGTGAGGTTTAGTTTGGGGCGATGTTGAAATCTAGTTGATATTTGGCTTCCATTATGCTCACAGGACATTCTTTTTGAATTTTAGTTAAATATTTACTGGTGTAACTGGTAGGACTGGCTGATAAACGTGTAAAGTACGGCCTAACTGAATGTGGCTCATCTTCCTGTTTGTTTCGTTGCTTTAAAAGTTGGTATTATTGACAAAACTGTTTTCCATAGTGCATGAGATTTCCAAAAGCCTCGTTTTGTTCGGATTCTCAAAAATTCTGAACAACAGTACACATTGTTATTTTCGGTTCATTTTTCGTTGGCGTTATTCTTATGTTTTATAATAAGTTTCGGAATCAAGGCGTTCCATATATTAAAGACGTTCCTTTTATAAAGTGTTTAAATTTATTAGGTCTGTTTTTCCTTACCTTGTACCAGTACAATTTATATCACCATTGCCGTTCTATTTATAACTTGTTAGACTACTGCCTTATGAGTAGTAGTTCCTTTGAAAAATTGCCGTAGGTGTAATGTCTAATCCCCAAGGTAATGGGGTAACGTCATGTGACGCACTCTCATGGTGGTCGGTAATCAAAGATGATGGGTTAATACTACATCCGTTCTCAGGCTTTTGAAGCTCTTTTACTTTATTCATTTAAAATCGATGTTTTCCAACTCGACTAAGTCAATTATGGCATGCGGCTCTGGTATGTAGAAAAAATATACGGACACGACATCTGTCGGCCCATCACGGTTCTTTGGCTGGGGTCCTAGAGATGGTGCGTCTTTGGCCTGAGATGTTATCAAACAGTTTGGAATAGGAGCTAGTGAAGATCCTGTTGTGAATTTGTACATTTTTCCTAAAATGTTTGACGTACCTAGAAGAATTCACTGGCCCCTTCACCTTATCTGCTTCTTCAGTTATATACTACTCTCGTTCGTTTATTTTTACTCATTTGTCTAGTTTTGATTGTAATCCTTTCTCTGTATTTTCACAACTTCATTTTATTTCTATGGCGCATATGCATTTTGGTGTACAGTTGTACCGATATTAATTTGTATAAATTTAACGTTATCTTGAAACAATATTGCATCAAAAGTAACATGAACGATTCTGCTATGATCACTAATTTTCAGTTTTACAATATTTTTAGTCAAGCATTTAGCGTACATTACAACCGACCAGAGATTATTTCCCCTTTAGAAACTAGTAGGATAGATTGTTAGCACGAAGTTTTACTTCGCTACTAAGGATCTTTGATTGCATTATCGAGTCAGTAAGAGTTCGAGCAAATATTTAGCTTGTAGACCGTCACTACCTGTACATCTTTAGTTTCAGTTTTTTAAAATTTGAGATCATTGTTTTACATTTTACTTTAGATCGGTTCTACCAGTGGAATTCTCGATCGCTTCCTTATTGAACCATTTGTACCACATGAACAGGTAATTCAAACAAATTTTACCACATGGAGTTGTTTAATATAGACATCCGGGTCAATATACAGGGCATATATTGACTAGTTTTAATTTTTCATTATAAGTGTTGAATGATTACTATCGATTTTCGTGAAAGCTGGCTAACATTCTTAGTGTATGAGTTCTATTTATAACAATAGTAATTTTGCAATTCAGCTCATCAAATTTATACAACCTTTATTGTTTATTTTCTCTGTCGCTTTAAATGGAATTTGATAAAGACAAATTTTTGTTGTTTTTAAAGCAAGAAGAGTACTATCTGTGTATGTACACTCAAAGGAATTCAAATGTTATCCTTTTTCATCATGCCGGTGGAGTAGATGTGGGTGAAGTAGATTCTAAGGTATGTACAATATTTTAGTTATCTTATGCAAAAATGTTGTCTTCCACAGTTTTTCTTCTATATAGCCTTTCTTCCCTGTTATTTTTAATAAATCTAGAACAAATGCGTCCGAATGTATAAGTTTAATTACTTTACGGATTCTCTCCAACTGCTTACAACATAGGAACTAGGGCATTAATCATTATAAATTATTGTGTATACTTTACATCACATTTCTAGAAAGAAAACTTGACCAATATGAGGGACCAGTAAAATGCAAGAAATGGAGGACAAATTTCAAGAATAGTCTATACGGTTGATTTTCCATAGGTTACTTTTATGAATATTGAATAAGAGAAAACAGAACAGCTAATGAAGACGCTTGTAGAAATTTAAAATTAATGCTCAACTACAATGACTGTTGGTTAAAAGCGTAAAATGAACGGAGCTCAGATAAGAATCAAGAATAAAGTAAGGGTATTTGTAACTAAAAGCATGGAGTACCATGTTACCCGCTACAACAATGCAACGTTGAGAATATCATCCTTTTTAATAAACAAACTGGGTTTAAATCATTTGATGGAAATGTCTCTAGAAACTCACTATATGTGGATTTATTTATACATTGAATTTTTTAAGATGTCAACTGTTTATTCACTGTGGAGGAAATGATGTGGGATCATACTGTTGGGAGATATTCTCTTAGTGTTCCTTTCTATAGGATGTAGTCGGAGGTGCGTACTGCGTACAAAGTTTGTACACTCGTTTTTTCCGAATTGCTACTATTACTTCTCATTTGTAAACACCATTAGAGAATCAACGGAGCAAATGGACTCATATTATTGTGTTCTGATTTTTGCTCCTAACTCACTGATATTTTGTAATTGAATAATGGAGTTGTTTTAACAAGACATTTTAATTCGAAGAATTTTCGTACAGAACATTGCTGCTTATCAGGTCTTCAAATTAACTGAGTTTTAAATAGTTAGATAGTTTTGTAGCCAACAGTCTAATAGAGGGGTTGTGATTTGGCAGATTTTTGGTTGAATCATTGTACCAATTTTTTTACAATGTAGATCTGACAAAAATATGTGTTCCAGTATAATATACTTTTATCCTAGATAATACTGAGTCACTGACTGTTACAGCGAAAGGACTGTTATGAATTGATGAATTGATGCTATACTTCTGCACGCCGTCGTTCGAGCGTTCCATCTAGCAGTACAGTCTAAAAATAACCTGTCTAAAGAGACAAAAAATAGTTAGAATTAGGACAAACAGGAAGAAGAGGTTAGTGTTGAAACATTGAATTCGTACTTTTTTAGTTTGGGCTTACATTGAAGCATTTAAACGAAATAGGCAGCTAAAATAGAAAAAAGTTAAATGCATATATTAATACATCAACAACGTTCGAAATAAATTTGAAAAAAAAGATTTAGACCGTTTTATACAAGAAATGACTTATTTGATCAACTCATTTTCAGAATACTACATATTCTATCTAGGCTTATTTCGAAGATAAATTCTTCTTATCTCGGACTGATACCAGGAAAAATCACTTACAGTTTCGCCGTCGCCTGGGTCTTCTCAAGAGTGCAAAAAAACCAGTCCTCTACCAAGTCAAATGCTCGGCTTATTTTTGGCATTGTTAACACATTAGTTCTTAACTACTTATCTCGAAAACAACATTTGCCATTTCTAACTTCCGCCATTCTGCGATTAAGTGCAAGTGTCACTCAGCATTATTGGGAAGCTACTCAACTTCGTTGAACAGTATTGGACTAGCTATGAAACCGAGATTTCTTAATCTAAGTTCGAGCTCAGTTGTTAGTTAGTATTGCTTAGGAGCGCTAATCTGAAACAAAATTTCTTTTACTGAGCGTGACTTTCTGTATTTCATCAGATAATGTTAGTGATAAGTTTTTTAAACTTACTCCTGTTACCCCTCGTGGAGGAGCATAGATCACCCACCAGGATTCTCCACCCAATTCTGTCCTAGACAATCCTTTCCAGTTGCTATTCATTCTTACTGTGTCTGCTTCCAATTCTCGGTGCAATGTGCTCTTTGGTCCTCCTGTCTTCCGTTTCCCTTCAGGATTCCAAGTTAGCGCTTGTCTCTTGATGTAGTTTGATGATTTCCGCAATGTGTGTCCTATCCACCTTTAACTTCTTTTTCTGATTTGCTCTTCAGTTGGGAGCTGGTTTGTTCTCTCCCACAGTAGATTGTTGCTGACGATATGCAACCAATTGACATTGAGTATCTTGTGTAGACAATTGTTCGTAAATACTTGTATTATTTTGATGATGGTTGTGATAATTCTGTAAGTTTTAGCTCCGTATAACGGAACAAGGTGTGTTGACGTTGATATTGAAGAATGTGACTTTGATGTTGTTTGACAGTTGTTTTGAGTCCTATATGTTTTTTAACTATGGGAGTTGTTTTCTTACTTTGTCAATCCTTGCCTTTACGTTTGTATCAGATTTTTGTTGTTGATCGTTGATTCTGATCAGGTAGGTAAAAAATTCCACCACTTTCACAGTTTCTCGATGGATTGTGATTGGGTTAGTGTTGTCTGTGTTGTATTTGAGGATGTTGGTTTTTCCTTTTTGTATATTGAGGTCTACTGATGCATGGGTTTCTGCTGCACTGGCAGATAAATATTTAGAAATCCAGGCATTTGAAAATAATTTTGTGGAACACATATTTGTGCTCACATATTTTCTGAGTAATCGTCTATATCTTTCTTTTATAGGCTAAACGTTTTGAGGTTTCAGTTGAAGATATTATGAAATCTGGTTCTGGAATGAAAGCTGGTTGTTCCGCCGACCAATTATTACAGAGTTCACTGCTTTCAGGAGTAAAATGTCCGAAGCGTGCAAGGTTTGTTGGCGATACCTTGTTAAATATGACGACTCGGTTATTTATTTTCAATGAACAATTTTTCCCTAAATTTTGGTGAATGTTTATTTTCTAAAGCAAAACACTATCTTTAGGCTCATTGAAACCTGAGACAAATGTATACCAGACCGAAGTTAATATTCTGCCAAACCAAGCATAAAGATTATTTCAAGTCAGTCCTCTTAGAATGGGCATATGGCAACTGAGAGTGATCAATTACACTCCTGAATATTGACAGCTATAAATTACAAACCCTTAGACTTTAAAACCTGTTAAACAGTTTGGGGAAGCCTAAACTCAGTAGTTCAGTGGACAACTCGTTGACGTTCGAATCGCTAGACATGGGGTTCGAATCTCAATATGAATATTGACATCAGTTACCCCTAGACTTTTAGTTTTATCTCAAATGAGATCAGTACGTTGCGAAAAATATCTATAAATTAAACTAATGTCAGCAAACAATATTGTTCTTTTGAAGAAATATAGAAAGAGAATTTAAATATAAGGTTAGCTCGGATTCTGGTAGAGGTACGAGGGGAGTTACTGATTCCCGGCCTCTCACAATATGGGAAAATACCTCTTATTAAGGGACTCAGGAAGGGAACTGGGTAATAACCTGCGATTCTGGTCACCGAACCGAGAAGACAACTATTTAAGTCCAATCAAATATAAGCGTTTTGTGAATAACCTTTGATTTAGTTCCTCACCTTTATAGCCTTACTGCTAGCAACATAAATGAGCAGGGCAAGAGGTTTCTTAAAACTTGCATTTTCCGACTATCCGTCCTCTGTGAAAAGCAGGCATCTCTGCAGATTCAAGTTTCTTGAGGGAAACATATTACTGTTGTCATATCTCAGTATAATTGGCAGTAAAACCTCTCCCTTGATTCTTAAGTTTGTTGCTTGTAATCTAGCCTTCTTTCTAACCAGTCTAACTGGCGTGGTAGAACTTTAAGTACCAAATGTTACAGCTAATATATAGTTTGACTGGGTCATCACGACAGTCAAGCCCAACCGTTATGTCAAGTTAATAGGAGTCCCTTTCTTGTAACCATTTAATCTTTTTTTAAAATTCATATGTGCCTATATATATTCTAATTGAACAACAAACATATTTATTATTAGGATGCTAGCTGATTTCATCGTTGAATTGCATTCAGTTTTTGACAAATTATACTTCACCTATTTAGAAATCAATCCATTAGTTATTTGTAAATGGAATATGAATGCAAACAAACTTAATGATTGTAATGGTAGCAGTTATCATATCATTAACGATAATGAACTACAGGATGTAGATCATGATACCAACGAACAGTTATATATTCATATATTGGATGTTGCTGCCAAATTGGATCAGTGTGCAGAACATTTGTTCACTTCAAGTTTGGAATGGTCAGTGAATGGAGAAATGTTGAAATTTCCTTTTGGTTTTGGTAAAACTGAAACTAAGGAGGTAATTATCATAATAATAATTATTATTATTATTACTAATATTACTTCCGTGCGTATATAATATGTCAACTTAAACTGACACAAATTTGTGCCAGATTCTGTATGTTGATTTTGATTGACTTACTTACCGACTGGTTGATTTTCAAACAAGTCCATATCACCACCTTTTTTACATTTTGCACTACTGGTATTGCTAATAAATGTACAATATAATTCATTTACCATGTAATCAGCTGTACATTTTATTTCAGATTTAGTTGTTCTATCCGACTGTTTAAACTGAGATAGGGTTTGAATTGGTGGATTTTGGTCAAATATCTAGTTTCTTTAACCATAAAAGCACCGCTATATGCAGGTATATATAGAGGCAAAACACCATAGAATGCTGAACCGGTTCTAGTTGTTCCATAGTTCCTTCTTAACTGTTTACAAAAAGAAATAATTTGAATGTTCTGAAGAACAAATAGATTCTTTGTCGTAGGATATTTACGTTATTACAACTAATTTCCAACTATGTTACCTAAGTCTTTAATTTGTTAACTTCATACTAACCAGTAGACGGGTAATAAAAAACTGCCAACTTATTCTTCCCTGAATAGTGCAATATGACAAGCGTCGTAGAGGTTAAAATTTTAACTAGGGAAGTCTGATATGTAAGTACTATTCTTTGACATAGTATTCCATCGTTCTTATTTTAAATGATTCTGGAGTGATATTGGTCAGTTTTACAAGTTCAGAATAACATTGCAGTCGGCTTAGCTGACTCCTAGAGACGTTGTTATGGAGATTCTTCGAGCCTACACTGTTTGTTCATTCAACCAGTCTTGCCGAAAAGCCTGCATTAACCTTCACATTTCATAGGCTTTAATCGTCCACAATTTCAAATGAGAGTTATGTGTACAAAAAGTGGTTCATTAAATCTCTTTTTAACATGGCTTTAATTTTTTACTATATATTACTCGTAATTGATGCGTACACTAATATTTGCAGATTTTCTTATCGTCGAAATCATGAACCGATCTAAGTTACACAACAACTAAAGACCTGAAATAACTGAATGGCCGTCTTGTCGTAGTATGGGACTTCTCTGCAGCGCGTATTCACGATCCCGCCAGTGAGAATCGAACTCAGGGTCTTCAGTCTCGCGCTCGAACGCCTAATTGCTAGGTCACTGGACCGGCATTTAACGGTTTCAATGTCTAACCTCAATCAATCCACGACATTGCTCTAATCCGTGTTGGTTTTGAGGCAACTAACCACCGAAGACAATGGAAGGTGGTTGCTCAATATCGTGGATCGACTGAGGCTAGATATTAACTTTGTTGGATGGCTGCCCAGTAGCCTAGAGGTTAGGCGTTCGTGAGCGATACCGACGGTGTTGGATTGGATCCCTGCGTGGGGGTTGGTGGATGCTTGTTAAGACGAAATGGCTGTCCAGTGATTCCAGGTTTTCACAGGTTGTCTAACTTAATTCGATTCATGGTTTCAGATGGACAACAATCTCCATAACCCTATACTGAAAATATCTTTATTTTGATTTGTCATTATGAAAGATTCCATCTTCTTCACTTAGAATTACATACTTTTATCAAATTACTTTCTCTGATTATTTTGATAATTAATGTCTTCCAAAATCTCTCCTCCTCTAGCTCTATACTTCGAACTATGCAGTCAGCTTTTAAGCACAGCTTTCTGTATTGGCCGAATAACTATGTTTATGAATTCATAATAACTCGAATACTCTCATAATGATCAATCGGTAAACATTTTAAACAAACGAGCGTTTTCGGTTATGTATCATCACGTTTTACAATTACAAAGAGAAATATTTATATTGATTGATCGCTGAGTAATAACCAATGTTGTGTTTGTTTAATCCTTAAACCATATTGCCATTAGCGATCTTTGGAGAGGTCCGATAGAAGACTGTCGCATATTCTGGAACACATATGTGGACTCGGGTCACGCTTTAGTTCGAGCATGTATTTGTCTGCATCTTATTGGACGTAGAAAAGTCACTACAAGGGAATTCCTTAAAGTTCAACTTAATGATGAAAAAGCTAAGAATATATTTCAGGGACAACTAGGGGAGTTATTCAACCGTGAAAGTGATATCCACCCCAAGGTAGCTTGTCAATATATCCAAAAAACTGTGGGAACAATGGTGATCTCTACTATTAACTTAAACCATAAGGTTAAGAAAATCAATGGATCTCAGAGGTGTTTCCAGAACTGATAGATGCTCGGAAACTCATCCCGCTTGACTCCGAACACGATGAAGAACTAAGGCAGCTTAAAAGTGAGCTAATAAGAAGCCTACCCAATGATCATGAGCAGTGGTGGGTAGCGAAAGCAGAAGAGATAGAAATGGCAGTAGCGGTAGGTAACAGTAGACTTATCAAGGAAACGGATATAAAAAATTAGGCTGTTGCTTAGACCGTTCCGGATAAAAAAACGGAACCATAATTCACTCTCTATCAAACGGATCGGACAGCTGGGTAGAACGCTCTAGGGAACAGTTCAACTAACCTTCAACCACATCTCTGTTACTTGCCATTTCCATGCAACCTAAATTGCAAACTCTCAATAAGTTCGAAGCGGCTATAAGCAATCTCAAGTGAGGGGAGCAGCAGGATCTGATGGATTAACCTCTGAGAATTTTTGAGTTAGTGGTCCATTTTTATCACTTAAACTAACTGAAGTTTTAACTAATATCTGGGAACTGAAGGTAACCCCATCTGACTGGTCTCCCAGTTTATAAAGAAGGATAAAAATCCTCTTGCGATAACCACAGAGGAATCAGTCTAACGAATCAAGTATCTAAAATATTAGCCTCAAACATACTTCGAAGTCTAACTAGAGCTCGTGAAGAGCGGACCCGAGAACCCAGGCTGGTTTCAGACCTAGACGTGAATGTATGTACAGACCGAATATTCACCCTCCACCAGGTTCTGAAACATAGATATACTTTTCAACGTTCATCTATGGTTGTATTCCTTGAACTTCAGACGGCATTCGACTCTATTGGTCGGGAGGTTCTATTGCAGTGTCTACCATTGAGATATGTACCAAAGAAGTACATCAACCTTGTACAAACTCTCTATTCAAGCACTACTGGTGAAGCAAAACGTCATCAAAATTGGGTACTTCAAATGATGTTCATCAAGACTGTCCTCTCCACATTTTTACTTGAATTCGTCAGGATGGACATGATTCCTCCAGAGACAACGGTTTCATCGTTTGACTTTTCAGGGGTTGATTTTCTAGCACGAGATTCACTTGTTCACTTAGTATAGGCAGATGACATAATTCTACTTGGTGGAGAAGCTGACAAAATTCAGTCTCCTGACCACCTGAAACAACGATTCAGACATGTTGAAATAGGATTCCCTCCTTCCAAATGCTAAATGTTGCTTCACTACCGGACCCAGTCAACTCTTGAATTTATCATATAGAGTCAAGTTAGTAGCTCAGTATGTTTACCTGTTCACTCTTACTGGTAGTCTTATTAGTCTCGATGGTTTGATCTCTCGTGAAATCTCGGCACCAATTCACAAAGCGTTATTGACTTTCGCCAACTTGCGTCATTTATAGTGTAAGCAAGATATATGTCTACTCAGAAAACCTGTTCGATCTATCATCATCTATAGCTGTGTGAATGACCACTATGATGACAGATTATTCGTAGATTATCAGTATTGGATTTTAGGTGTCCTTCAAGTATCACTCGTGTATTGTAGGACCATTAAATGAACAAAATTGGGGTTAGACACAAGGCACTATGTATATACGAAAACTCGATTGATCAGGTAATGAATCTACATCACTTGAGGTAGTTGGCTCATGTCTGACGTGTACTCAACCATCGAGTACCTCAAGAGACGATGTTCTTCGATGTAGAAGTAGGTTAGAAGGAAGCTACGGGTAGCCAAAGCAAGTGGCATCAGTCTATGAAGTCATTGACAATTGGATTGAGCCATGATGACAGGTGTAAACTACCTGGTCGGTATCTGCATGGTGGTCGTAACCAATGCTTGGCGTATTTGAATAACGTGGCTCAGAATCGTTTGCAATAACGCAGATGCACAGGTTTTTTTTGTCTCCCCCTCAAATTCTGAGATTCCTAATTCCTCATAAATGCTTTCATTTCACTAATTTATATTTTCTTGTCGAGTTGCATCTTTAATACCTATTCTTTTTTATTACTACTGATACTGTTACTACCTCTACGATTCTGGGATTTGGTCTGGCAATTCCATCTCTCTGTACTAATGAGTTGTTGTGGATGCGGAGGAATAGACCAATAATTATCATGTTAAGTCCAATGGTGTCCTTGGACTTTAAATGGACATTTCCTATTGGTCGATATCTGTTCACTTGTTGAATATTGTACAAAATGTTGTTTTCTATTTTATGGCACGATGTGGTATGCTTGATTGGTATATAAACAAAGTATGTTTGAAATATAGTGATTCATATCTCCGAGGCTGTGACTTGTGTTCTGGACTCAACTGACTGGGCTAGACAGGGAAGCGAGACCAATCGAGACTCTAGGCCGTCCGTACGTGTTTACGTGTCATTGAATCGATCGATAAATACGCTGCTCTCTAATCTCTTCAGTCAAGGACACAACAATTAGCACAGGGTAAAAATCAACCAACAACTTAAATTCATAACATGAGTTATAGCAACTTGAACTGATATACATAAATACCAGGTTCTACGTTTTGACTGACCGACTAACTTACTGAGTCCCTTGTGTTGATCTAATTCTACCAATCAAATTGCAATGTTGTCATTAATATAAGTTACTTGACATCTCCTGGGCTATTTTTTAGTGTTCGTTAAAAGTAGTCAAATGCAATCCTTGTTTCCATGCCAGTTAGTACTCGTCGGGAAAGTGTGTTTTAAGTCCTCAAGGAAATAACCTTCATGAAATCTAAATCCACAAGGTTTCTTTGTTAACTGCGTCCAGCCAGATAAATCCAAATATATTTATTTGTAAATTTTAAAGGGTGATGAGAAAGTACCGAAAATATGTATTCGCTTAAATTGCTTTCTCCAACGTATATAACTTGTAACGGTGACCTAGTGGTTTAGGGGTTCCGATTTTATCTATTATAGTTCGTGTTCGAACCTCACTCCATCTACTTTGGTCAGAACAATCGAGTATTATCATATCAGCTGTCATATTTAATTATTACTCAAGCCCATCTATACGAATCTGTACTTAATAAATGATTATATACTTTCAATCAAAATAAAGTTATATTTTCAGATATTTTTTAATTTAGGAAGCGTACATCGCAAAGTTGGATGCTCGAACAGGTGCTTCATTAAAGCTTACTATACTTAATCCAAATGGTCGTATATGGACAATGAGTGCAGGTGGTGGAGCTTCAGTAATTTATGCTGATACAGTTTGTGAATTAGCTGAAAAAGTCAAAGCAGCCGGCGGTACAAGTCAAGGTGTAAAAGATTTAGCAAATTATGGTGAATATTCTGGAGCACCATCAGAAGAATTAACTTATGAATATTCAAAAACAATTCTAAATTTGATGACTACTGGAGAACTACATCCAGATGGTAAGATTTACATTTTCAATCGTTTTTTACTCTGTTGAATTTTGCTTTTAATTTGAAATGTAATTAGAGGAAAATTTGTTTATTCGGCTTCGTATAATACCCGACTGCATAAGACAGAAAATAGTAGTATAGGATTAGAACCTATGATCTATTGGGTTGAATGTTGATTGTTTTACCCTCTAAGATACCTCACATACTCACGCCACCCACCAGGATTCTCCATCCAACTCTGTCCTAGACAATCCTTCCCAGTTGTTTCCAGTTGCTATTCATTCTTACGGTGTCTACTTCCAATTCTCGATGCAATGTGCTCTTTGGTCCTCCTGTTTTCCGTTTCCCTTCAGGATTCCAAGTTAGCGCTTGTCTCTTGATGTAGTTTGATGATTTCCGCAATGTGTGTCCTATCCACCTTTAACTTCTTTTTCTGATTTGCTCTTCAGTTGGGAGCTGGTTTGTTCTCTCCCACAGTAGATTGTTGCTGATGATATGCAACCAATTGACATTGAGTATCTTGTGTAGACAATTGTTCGTAAATACTTGTATTATTTTGATGATGGTTGTGATAATTCTGTAAGTTTTAGCTCCGTATAACGGAACAAGGTGTGTTGACGTTGATATTGAAGAATGTGACTTTGATGTTGTTTGACAGTTGTTTTGAGTCCTATATGTTTTTTAACTATGGGAGTTGTTTTCTTACTTTGTCAATCCTTGCCTTTACGTTTGTATCAGATTTTTGTTGTTGATCGTTGATTCTGATCAGGTAGGTAAAAAATTCCACCACTTTCACAGTTTCTCGATGGATTGTGATTGGGTTAGTGTTGTCTGTGTTGTATTTGAGGATGTTGGTTTTTCCTTTTTGTATATTGAGGTCTACTGACGCAGAGGCTTCCGCTACACTGGCTGTCTTGACCTGGATTTGTTGTTGTGTATGGGATATAAGAGCTAGGTGATCTGCGAAGTCCAAATCGTCTAGTCGCATCCAGGCTGTCCATTGTACCTTGTGCTTCCAGTCAGACGTGGTGGTCTTCATAATCCAGTTAACCACCACGTACAACGTCAATTTAAATATACACAGTTATTAACACTACATTTGGTACACGGAAAAGTTTTCTAAAGCTTATAATATTTTGTGTCACAAGTATCATGGTTCCGAACGTCAACCCACTTATTTCGGTTCGAGCAGTAGGCTAGTGTTGTAGTGGACACTACTCACAAGATTGTTTGTAAGTAGTTTGTAGCGGAATGTTGCGTTAGAGTTACAACTATTGTCAGACGGAGCGAAGTGTTTCAATACATCGAAAGCACGGTGTTATCATAACGCGTGGAGACTAGATGAGAAGGCCGTCGTGACTACAGAAGACACCGAAAGTTGAAAATCGCCTATTGAAAGCTGTGTATATATACTACATAAATACTCGGTAACTCCTCGCAGTTAATACACTTTCCCCTTGCCTCTTGTCATGTTTTACAATATCACTCAATCATACAAACAGTGTGATTCAATGGTGAATACTTAAACATTTACTTGGTAAATGAGTCACAGTAAAGCTGTAATATCTTTGGGTAGTACATATTTGTGTGAAGCCTTGAGTTGATTTTAACTAATTGACTAACTGGTCTGTACAGATAGTAAACTCTCTTCATCATGATTCAGTTAAATCCTTAAGTTTCTATTGTATTTTTCACATCATGTTTTCACAAATCTTAACATTAACTACGTATTAGTTCTAAGGGTAGTATCATTAGAACTTGCTTCAAGAATGTTTTTCTGTTTTATTTACGAAATTCTTTTAAAAATCTCAACCTGTTCCAGGTAAAGTTTTACTAATCGGTGGGGGAATTGCGAATTTCACAAATATTGCTGCTACATTTAAAGGTATTGTGCGTGCTTTGACAGAATTCAAAGAACAATTGAAGAGACATAATATACGTATATTTGTCCGTCGTGCTGGTCCCACTACCAGGAAGGTCTTCGTGTAATGCGTGAATTGGGTAGGATAAAGCTAAACTATTATTTTTGGTTGTATAAAACTTAAAGATAATTTGGATCTATTTTGTAGTTTTTTAGTGTACATATTTACCAGTAAGCTTTAGTTAGTCCATCAATATATTTATACTTATATAAATAAGACTAAAGTAAGTCGTAGTCTCCAGCAATTTACTAGTGATCGATTATGTTACCCAATGTATTTAATGAAATGATTTAAATGTCTAACTAATTGCTAATCTTTATTTGAGCTGTATCATGTATATGATCATCATGTGATATGGAGAGTAGCCTAATCAGTGCTAATCAATGGCGATCAAAAATGGCCCAAAGTTCAAGTGCATTTCATTGGGATAAAAATGGGTCAATTTCCTAAGGATAGAGTGGTATATATATGAATGAGTATTTGTGCATTTCATTCGGTTGTCCAATACACTTTCACGCTCACTCTTGTGTTCTCGTTTAATTAGTCAGTTGGGGGTTGGCCATAGCATACCGTGTATCAGTATCGAATTTCGGACACTGTCAATCATAACACCATGTGTCATAAGAGATAAGTAATTACCCCAGTGCCAGTTTTGATCGTTCAAGTAGATATTGGGTAACGAAATTCCTCTTGAAAATTCTAACAGAGTTATCCCTAAATAGGAAAATTACAATCTTGAAATGTTTAAAATGACCGCTAAAGTTCATTTTTGTAACGTAAAGCTCTCATCTTTAGTAAGTAGTGCCTTTTAAGGGATACACTAATATCCTCCTTAAAAATATTCACACATTGCATCATTGTCGTTTGGAGATGCAGTATAACTTCTGTTTTTGACTCTTGTTAAATATTCGTTTAAAAAGTTTTTATTATTATGAGAAATAGTAGTGTGTACTTCTGTGAATGGTTTATGTTATTGTGTATCTGTTTTCCTAACGCTCGTAGAAGAGCTTAATAAATACATAACTGAGGGAATAAATGACAAGCAGACAGTGTAATATTGATTTACAGTTCTACTTGTAAATCCCTGCTTTCTTAATAGTTGCGTTTCACGATGAACTATTGTGTGAAATTAGATAAGAACCGATGCTTTCAACATGATCTAGTCGCCGAATGAGCTTATATATTTTTGATTATTGGGGAAGCTAACAATTGCTCTTTGGATTTATGTCAAGTGAACCAAAAAGACCGTCGTTTATTTATTTATTTCACTTATTTAAGAATATAAACATCGGTACAAAGAGTGACCTAAATATATATACGCCATGCAAGTCGCTGAATTTATGTATGGGCTAGAATACTATCCGTGTACCCAAACTGAAGCGGTTAATTTCCCTAGCTGATCACTCCCCGAAACACTGACCTAGAGGTCTTATTCACAACGCAGTGGAGTGACGTTAGGAGATGCGGTCCTATGATAGCCTGTGATCAAAAATGAGTTCATACGCAATTCTGGAGCCCGTATACACGATTAGTTGTGACTCAGGGTTTTCTAACTTCCTTAGGTGGTCCCTTCGTACCCACCAATCCGGTTTAAGTGCTGAACATCCATTTTTCGTCCAATACTCTAGTCGCGAGAATGCAGTGAGTAGTTCTTCCCTGGTATTGACTATATATGCGTGGCTATACGAGAGCATTTGAAGAAGGAGAGCAGGCTCTCCCTACCCTTGATCGTACCATGGCATTTGGAGGCTAAGATTGTTGACTAATTGTCGTAATTTCTAGTAATCGAAACAGCTAACATATTTTTCAATGAATATTTTTGTCAGCTTGCCGGTAATAACAACTACTTATTCAAATAATCAGTAATCGGCCTATTTCACAATTTAACATGTACAATATTTAATTTAGTAGAGCTCACCAACTTACCATATTTAATATTATTGTTATTATTTGTTTTATATTTTTAAATTAACATTCTACATTTGGAAAAAACTTTCTTACTTTAATTCGTTTTCTGTCGATGCATTAAGGTCGTACTATCGATATTCCAATTTATGTATTTGGACCTGAAACTCATATGACTGCTATCGTATCAATGGCATTTGGTTTACGTCAAATACCTCCACCTAAAGTAGATCATATTCAGTCATCTGCAGATACTCTATCATTGTACAGTTACAGTGGTTCTGGCTGTGAACATAAAGTAAGTAATAGTAGTAGTTACCGATCTCATGTTTGTATATAGTCATCGGCGTGCTGATCGTATTCCATCTATCTGAAGACGGTAATATAACCAATAGTGTGAGTGAAATTAAATTCAAGTATATTTTGTTTGACTGTTAGTTGATTAGATGCAAACGAAAGCACGTTTTGGACATTGGTTGATGCCCGTTAGCATTCATCATCAGCATGAAGTAGCTAAATGCTTGGGGAAGCTGATACTCCTTGTGTGATTCATATCTGTGCACTTAATGCCCGTGATTAAAGAGATTACTGTTTGGCTGTTTAATTGACAAATGGCTTTCTGTACAATTGATATATTTACAATTGGTTGATCCACTACGTACTAGATAGTACTTAATGTTGATTGGATTTTATCGATCAGGTTACAGTTCAGTTACTAGTCTAACTAACCCCAAATCTCTCGCGGATCATGTTTGAATATCACATTAGAAATATGTATCTCGACTATGTGGATTTCACGAACAACTTGATTAGCAGTATTTCCATCTCTCTAGCTTACTCGTTGTTATGTTTATTCCAAAATGCTTCATATACATAATTTTAAATAAGTCAAACGCAATGTGGAACCTGGGATATATGTGCATCGGTTCAAGTTGTCATATCTCATTAGCACAGTAAGATGAATTTGTTAGATCGGATTTCAGAGTAGTAGAGATAGAGTAACAGTATTACTGATAATAAAAATGATTATGCGTTCAGGATAAAATTTGAGAAAATATTAGTAAAATAATAGAAAAGCATCTATGAGAAATTTAAAACTTAAGATCTAAGGGTAGAAGGAGTGAACGATTTAGAGCCATATCATTCAAAGTCTAACCATTGGTTATGAGAATATGGCGAACTGCAATCAGGTAGGTAGTTTGTACCTACCCACACGTCTCAGTTCAATAGTCAGTGTTTTCATGGACTGACACCATGTCTTGGTTTGACTGTTCCTAGCTTTCTTCCAATCTACTTCTACACCAGCCATCATCATTTGTTGAGGTGATTAGTGAATGCAAATACGTAATACATGTCTTAACCAACTCAGTCGATAAGAATTCATTATCTTGTTAAAGGATTTACCACATTTACCTGTGTAGCTAACCTAAGAATTGCTAACTTGATGGTCCTAAAATATACGAGCAATGCTTCGAACACACATATAGTTGAACACCAGTAACCTATGAATATGTTCTATTTTTTAAAGACCACATTTCACGTCCATAAATTAGGGGCGGTCAGACCAAAACATGACACAAATCTATGAAGTCACTGACAAGTGGAATGAGCCATGTTGGTAGGTATAGACTACCTGATTCGGATCAGCGAGATGATAGCAACCAATGGTTAGAGACCTTAAATGACATGGCTCAAAATCGTTTGCAGTAGCTCGGGTGCATCGACTCTTTGTGTTCTCCCGAATTCTAATCTTCTGAATTCCTCATGTCCCTTTTTCTCCCTTTCCAAATTTATTTCACTGGATTATACTCTTTGAATAACATCTTCAAACCCTAATGTTTTCAATTACTGCTTATACTCTTACTACCTATATCACTACGGAATTTGAATTGACAACTGCATCTCTGTGCTAATGTAATTATGACAGTTCGAACTGATGTACATACATACGAAGTTCTACATTGTCTCTAACTGATTTGACTCACAGTCAACCTAGGAATCTGGCACAAATATTTACATCAATCCAACCTGATAGGTCACTTCACTATAGAAATATAAAACTGACAAAATAAAAAAAAAATAGAAACAAACAAAATCGAAATATCATCGTCATTATGATGATAAAGAATAAACATAGAGGAACATTTTTTTTTTCACTATCGAAATAATATGAAATACATGAACAATAATATAAACTGAATTCATTTTATTTCACAATAGACCAAATGTCGGTAATATTGATTCATGTGAAAAATTAGTCTCATTTCATTCATTAATGAAAATAAAATGATTTCAATGTATATTATTAACATTGAATTAAAACCGGTCATATTATCTATTAAGAAAGTTCAATAATCAGATTGTATTTTAAGCAATGACGCAGTTAGTTTCATTATCAATGAACTATGTAAATCTGGATGAAATAAATGACCTCGTTTATATAATCACCAGGCTAAATTGTTTGTTACTAGCTCGTTCTATTACATTTTATATCTATGAAATGTGACCTTTAGTAGTAGAGGATATTTGTAAGTTACCAGTGTTTTATCATAGATGACCTTGAAGAATTGTTCACGTATTTCGAGATCATGGAATCATTAATATTATGATTAGATGCATGATACTAGGTAAAGATGGAACATTGATTGATCAGGTAGTGAACCTTCATCAACTGAAGTAGTTCGAATTTGTATTATATATAACTAATCACCTCCTATCCTGATGCACAGTATTTACCGATGTAGAAGAGTATGTCTGAAGAAAGCTTTAGAGACGGTCAAAGCAAAATGTGATATTAATCCAAAATGTCATTGATTGTTAAATCAGGCCATGTAGGCTGGTCCAAACTATTTGGTTATGGTCCATACGACTATCCCAACCAACTGTTGGAAATTTTGTGTAACATGACTCAAAACCAATCTTAACGATACAGAGGTGCATTCACTTTTCATCTTTCTTTGAATCATGAATTTTATGATTATCTCCCACCTTTTATTGCTCAAATCTGTTGATTCTTATCGAATCACATTGTGTATGCATAAGGTCTCACACTACCGCTGATACTACTACTTCTCTAGGATTTGTCTTAATGATTTCATCTCTCTGTGCTGAAATGGCGCGGCGATCTGAACTGATATAAGTATTTGTCGCTGTTTAAAATAAGTTTTTATTTAAGATCCTTATTGTTAGCAAACCGTTGGCAATCAACATATACAAAACAACAACCTGTGTTATCTTCTATTTGTCAATTTTACAACTGTCAGATAATTTGCCGCCGAGACTTTTATGATATGCGTCTTTAAACAGTAATAGTTCTTCAGTAACAACTAGATTTTTGAGAATTTAGAGAGTTCTAGGAATAGATTACATTCTTGTGCATCTCACTTAACAATTACAGGTTTATATAATCTACTCTGAACCATATATATATATATACATATATATATATATATATATATATATATATATATATATATATATATATACTGTTGTTGTGTCCTTGTTCAGAGTATAGGACTGACTGCCACATACATAGAGGGTTTGTAATGAACTGTGTTTTATTATTATTCATTCTAACCTATCTCTGTGCAACTCAGTTGAATAAATTAGCTATCAGTATAGGTTGTGAAGATCGTTGACTTTCATTGAAATCATCAATCGATATTAGTCAGACAACCATTGAAAACTTGAACAACTGTTTTTTCCTAGTGTGGGAGTGTGTATCCACGAACTCGGATACCGGAATCGAATCGAGGACCTCCGGTCTCATATACGAACACTAATCGTTGAGACCGCTGTTTTCGATGGAACTCGACAATCTCCACAACCCTGTACTAACAATTACCATATGCTCACTAGTGACCAGCTTGTTTTGAGAAGAAATTCCTTGAATTCTTATGAGAAGCTGTGACCAGTAGAGCAAATCCATGTCGGATATGAGGCACTTACCCACTGAAGACAATGGAAGATTGTTTGGTGGATTGATTGAAGCTAGATATTAACTCTGTTGGGTGCCGGCTCAATGGTATGGAGATTGGGCGTTTGTGTGCGATACTGAAGGTGCTGGGTTTTATTCTCACGTGCGGGATAATGGATGCTAACTGCTGAGAATTTCCATACTTAGATGAAATTGCTGTCCAGTGTTTCCAGATTTCCACTGGTTGTCTAACTTATATCGGTTCATGATTTTAATGAATGAATTAAGTCAAATAAACTGAGTTTTTTGTTGGATGTGTTCCCATCCTTACTCATTTACAAGCCTTATTTATTTGTCACATGAAACGCCCATTGTATCAGTAGGTGAGCGCTATCCAACTTGAAGTTAGTAAAACATTTGTTTAACCTGCCCACTACTTAACATGTTAAAAGTACTACTAAGTCACTGGTTTGTTCAATCATCATACTGATTTAACTAATCTAGTTATGTACCGCTTGAACACTTTCATTTTACTGTTGTAATCAGTTGATTTGAATTCCTTCCTTTTTTTGTAAATCGTATTTCAAGAATTCAGAAAAATCAACACCAGTTGTAACCAATCAAACTCGCAAGGTTTCTGAACTCTCTTCTACTATCACTACTGCTACTACTACTACTACTACTACTACTACTACCAATGGTAATAATCATGAAACTATTTATGAAGAACCGCTTTTTACAGTGAAAACAAAGTGTTTAATATGGGGTTTACAAGTGAAAGCTGTTCAATCTATGTTAGATTTCGATTATGCTTCCGGTCGTGAAAGTCCAAGTGTAGCAGCTCTGATTTATCCTTTCAAGTAAGGCTCAATCATAGAGTAAAATGATAATATTAAACGAATCAAATGCTTAATACTATCTCTTTTGATTTTATACAACAGGTAAACAGACATTCTCTAAATCTTAACCTTAAACCCTTAATTATATCTAAACGAACCTATACCTGATAACACTGCATTTTATAGAAGAACTTATCGAGTATGGCGAGATCCACGTTTACATATGACTACAGAGCACTTTTACATTATGACTAATGTCATTTCGTGGTGAAAACATTTACCTTACCCTAAACCTCGAGTTTTAATCTTAACTAGGAATAATGTGGAGACTCATAAAAATCTGTTTCGATCCTTTTAAGGGTTCGAGAAAATAGACAACTTATATTTATAAGGACGAATTTGTATGTTATTGTCTATTTGATTTACAGGCAGAGTAGCCTACAGAAGGCATTATTAAGCTTACTAATCATGTAAGATTTATTCATACTTCTCAATATTATAGTTTTCTTTTCCACAAATTATCCATCTATATTAGCTGTTTTCTGTATAGTTACAAACTGACTGAAAATTCATCGGTGTTATTTTAAGCTTATCACTATATTATACTTTGCCATCATTACTGACTTACACTGTCCACTACTCAGTATACAAAAATGGAATTGAACTAGACAATGTTATAGGTTTAAAATAGTGAACGTCTGCATGAGAATTAATAGGACAAAGTAAATTATGTGATTGATATACACAATAGGAAAGGTAATAATAGTTACTGCAATGATACCATTTATATGAATAAAATATGTAATAAGAGCGATATCATTACGGTAATTATATGATAATGAATTCATACGAATTGAGAAAGATGAATATGCAAATTAAGAATGGAGCAGGGCAGAAATAAACATGGGATCAAATGGTAGGGATTTGTGATAGGTAGTTTCACCCATTTGTAAACCATGGTCGAATTCACCTCTTCTGTTTTCTATAACTTGTCCTGATAACTTTAACTATGTAAAGGAGCCCTAATATTAGTCCTTTATGTAGATCAGCCAGAAATTGACGAGGAACCGTGGTTTTATCTATTTCTGTGTAATGATCGGTACTTACCGAACGAAGAAAGATGGTTCGATTAATAGGTTTCATGACTCCTTTTTACAGTCGTACAACACTACGAATTAGGAAGATTGTGCTGGAGAAAATTAACACAAGTTTACACTATTTAAAAGAGAAATACATATTACAAAATAACATGTAATGGTCAATTAAATCATATTTGTTTTGGTTGTTCAAATTTTCCCATTGATGTTTAAGACTGCCTCAAATGCCCTGGTACGGTTGAGCGTGGGGAGAGTCCACTCCCCCTTTCGAAACGCTCTCACATGGCCACGCGCATACAGCCACTGTCGAGGAAGTCTTACTCACTACCTTCTCGAACCACGGGTGTTGTGTACGAAATTGAGAGGACGAAAAGCGAATGTCCGGTGCTCTAACCGGGTTGGTATAACACGGAGAGTTGGAAGACCCTGAATATGGGCTCCAGCATCCTGAAGGAACAAACGGCGTATGAACTAATTGTTAGTCACCGGCTACCATGGGACTACATCTCCTGACGTTGTTCCACTGCCTTGTGGACCAGACGTTTAGGTTGAAGGCTCCGGGTGTGGCGTCCTAATAAAACCACCCGCTTCGGTTTGGGTACCCGGGTAGTATCATAGCCCATACACAAATCAAGTGTCTTGTGTGGCGCATATGTATTGCCCCTTTATACGAATATTTATGTGTTCAAATAAAATAAAAGTTTAAGACTGAAATTGATTAGTCTCTTTTGGCATATGTGCATCCCGTACGGATTGCCTCGATATCCCCATTAAGTCACAAGCATTCTAAACAGAGATAGATGGTTCGAGTCCTGGAGTGAACATCAACTCTGAAATTTAGGTAGATCCAGTTGAAGACAAGTCCTAAGTGGGACGAAACCTACATCTTTGATTGTACTGCTAGTCATCATCCATCACTGCTTATAATGATTAAGTCCTATATTTCCTTTTTCTCATTTTATTCTTAACACAATAGCGACGATCATCAATTAAAATTTTATTGGGGTGCAAAAGAATTATTTCTACCAGTTTATAAGTATATGTTGAATGCAATGCACAAGCATCCAGATGCACGTGTATTAGTGAATTTCGCTTCATTACGAGTTGCGTATGATATATGCATGGAAGCTATGGAAGTGGATTGTATAGTTTCATCTAATTATAAAGAGAATGGAATATCGAATGAACACAATAATACATCTATTCATAACAATATTAATAATAATGGTTTATCAGTAAACGAGGCACAGATCAAGTGTATCGCTATTATAGCTGAAGGTATACCAGAAAATATGACACGTCGTTTAATACAACGATCCAAAGAAAGAAATATTCTATTGATTGGTCCAGCAACTGTGAGTTCTTTTTTTATCGTTGAATATGTTGTATTCTCTATAATATGGTCAGTCTTTATTTTGTATATATTTTATAGATTATTTAGTTACCATTCATAGTATACATTTTATTTGTCAAGTATCAATGTATGTACTCAGTTTTTGAGTTACATTTTGTGTCAGATAGTTAATATTATTCCCTAGTTGTATATAAACTGATGTAGGCAGTGTTGTGGGCGCTCAAATCGTTAGAAATTTAGCATATTTCAGTCTTTAGAGTCATTGATTTAACATTATTTTTGCAATCTATTTGAAACTGTAAAACAGTTTAGATAAGTGTCTGAATTTGAACCTTTTTCATCACATCGTGCTATGTAGTTGATTACTTGCTTGGAAGTTTAAGTTTTTTTTAATGACGGTGTTACTATTGTATGTAGGTTTATTTACTGTTGATCTGTTTCATTTGGATAAACTTACAGTAAATGAACTATTGCTTTATGGAAATTGAATTCTCTTAGTTGAATAGCCGTGTCAGTTGTTCGACAGTTACGATGAAAGATGTTCGCTCAATATCGTGGATTGATTGAAGTTAGATATTAACTTCGTTGCATGCCTGCTAATTGATCTGAAGATTAAACGTTTCCATGAGAGACCTAAGATCCTGGGTTCGATTCCTGTATGCGGGCTAGTGGGTGTGAGCACTACTGAGGAGTCCATTAATACAAAACAGCCGTTTAGTATTTACAGGTTTTCACTGGTTGTCTAAATTAGATAGGCTCATGATTTCAATGAATAATCTAACCGTAAATCTTTCACATTGTCTTTCTAAATAGTATTATCAGCATAAACTTCAGATAGAAGTGACCTATCAAATTTTTGCACCTTGAATTTGATTAGTTGTTGCTGTTAACACATGTTCAGGGAGAAAAACGTTGGAATATTGGACAGAGGTAACACGGAGAAGACCGGACAATTTCTATATAGCTTGGAATCAAAATCAATCAGTAATCGATAAACATAATGAAGTACCCCTAGTTGGTTAACTGGTTAGAAAAATCATAAACAACTCCGTGGCCAAAGATCAGTTAAGCCTACTGTAATCGGACAATTTATTATAGATTAATCAACTACAAAAAACTAATATCCAACATTATCCTTTGATTAATTTTGAAACGTTTGTTAGTCGACGATTTTGTTTCGTAAAAATTTACTTACCTACGCCTGTTACTCCTAATGGAGCATAGACCGTCGACCAGGATTCTCCAAACTACTCTTTCCTGGGTCTTCCCTTCTAGTTCTGTCCAATTTTCGTTCATTTTTCTCATGTCTATCTCCATTCCTCGGTGTAATGTGTTCTTTGGTCTTCCTCTTTTCCTTTGGCCTTTAGGATTCCATATGAGGACTTGCCTTGTGACTCAGTTGGGTGTTTTCCTCAATGTGTGTCCTATCCACTTCCAGCACTTCTTCCTGATTTCTTCCTTCACTGGGATCTGATTTGTTCTCTCCCACTCCACCTGGAGCCCCTCTGGGGCTATTGCCAGTCCCGTGCCTGGATAAAGGAGGAGGGTTGGGCATGGGGTTAGCGGCTCCATTCCGTAGAAAACTAACTCGCTAAAAATACGTTAACCATTAAAAAAAGTTAAATTAAAGTTGAATGAATGTATTCTGTTATAAATATTATCTTTTTTCTCACGTTAGATAATTGTAAGGATAACCTAGAATACAGCTTCTTATAATTTCATTAGAACTGTTATTCATCTGTATTTCTAAAAAAAAAAGCAAATTCGGTAGTGATCAGAAGTGAAATTTAGGACTTGCGTTTCATCCTGTGTAAGGTTCGTCAGCTCAATGAAATCGCTAAGATTCAAACCCATTACGTTCTTCTTTTAACAATTGCTGAATCCAAATAGCTGTTGGTTAGTTTAACGGGATGAATAATATTTCATTTATGATGGGTTAAATCTCTACCGTTGGTGATGTTAAAAACTCCAAATGACAAGTCTCTTTCACCATACTTAAATTCTGAACGGACCACCCCGACACTTTCATAGAGTCTAGCATTTTAAATAACACTAGATTCGAGTCTCAGCGTGAATATCAACATTAAGGTTCAGATACATCCAACTAACGAGTCTTAAATAGGATAAAACACGTGTTCTTGATTATACTACTATTCACTATCCTACTGTACTTAAATAAATATGATTTAATGATAATATGATGACTTCTCTCAGGAAGTACAATGGTCACTAGGAACTGATCAACCTCAAACTCTTGCAGATTATATAGCCATTATTTAAACATTTATTTATCTTGAATAATCTACTTTCATAATTCATTTGATCGAATAGTTTTATTTACCACAATACAGTATTTGTTTACCTTAACATCTGTAATATCTTATTCCCTAATAAAACTCATTTCATAATATCAACTTGCCATCTTCATTAGTACAAAGTGATTGGACATTTTTTTAAACATTAGTTTCAATATTCTATGAAATTGACTGAGAGCCCATCTTTTCAAGAATCAACTATATTATTCGTATGTGTGTGTTTGTGCGCTTATGTAAGAAATAAGTGGTAAATATGTGAAAATTACATTTGAAATATTCTCAGCGATTGAAATTTAACTAATTTCAACGTTTCGTCCAGCTAACTTGTCTGGACTTCTTCAGGGTAATAATCAAAATCAAAATTATCAAAGAAATATATAGCTTTTTAACAATCACGATTATACTGTGTTAAACCAATCATATTTGGATGTTGACACCCATAAAGAAAGATTGACAGCAGAAGCTCTGCATATATGGGCGAACAAGAACAGCCTGAACCGAAAAGATGGTATTCAAATGGCGACTACCTGGCAAATTTCGTTTGACAAGTAAATTTGGAACCTATCTCTTGTTTAAACCTGTTTTTAATATCACATGTATCGTTATTATTATTGAAAGAACTGAATGAGTTTTTAACAATACAATTTATGTTTTGACATCGATCTTTCATTATCAAGTTTTCGTCCTCCAACTTGAACTTTATTTATTCCTTCATATCAATCTCTCACACATACATACATACCTGCACACTCACACACATACGATTTGTTACTCAGTTAAGTGTTTCCATGTAGTTGAATTCATCATATGATTTGTAGTTAACTGACTCATTTTATCCTATTTTACAAAAAATCAACATCCAAATATGATTGGTTTAACACAGTATAATCGTGATTGTTAAAAAGCTATATATTTCTTTGATGATCTTGATTATTACCCTGAAGAAGTCCAGACAAGTTAGCTGGACGAAACGTTGGAATTAGTTAAATTTCAATCGCTGAGAATATTTCAAATATAATTTTCACATATAATGACTTCACTATACTCGGCGCTCAATTACTGTCAAACTATTCGTTCTAATCTTGACGAATATTCGTATAAATGGTAATTAGTTCTAAGAGTAAATGAAACTTAATCTTTTGTTTTGAAATGTTAACTATTCAGATTTTCTCTCTTGAATATAGAATATAAACATGTCCCATGTTTACAACATAAACACGGTATTCTTTTTTTTTTTTTTACATTTCGATAGATGTGTCTTGAGTAATAAAGTTAGATGAGTATTTTTCCTTTAGATATGTTTATCAGTGGACCTGAAGTTTTTACTCGTTTTTGTTTTCTAACTGAATTCAACTCTCTGACATTTGTGATCGAATGATAACTATGTGTAAAGTTCTAACTTACACAAACCTTCTGTTGCACGACACTAATGAATCATGGAATAGTAACCAATTCGGTGATTGTATATTCCTTTGTGCTAATCGAATTTTATTGATTAACTGAAATTCATGCACTTGTTATTCAATATTGAGCTCGCTTTAGCTGAGATCTGACTTGAATATTATGATGACTCGACTGAGCTACATTGTCTGGAATACTTATACTTTTAGTTTATGCTATGCCATCTTGGTTGTTTGGAGAATAGTGAGATTGAAAGCAACAAACTTGGGGTTCATGGGCATAATCCTACTGCTGAATATGTTGCGTTTTGATTGATGGGAAGGGAGTCGATTTCCCCAGGCAACTAAAATTTTCAGCATTACTACATTCCAACAATGGAAGGAGGGGTGTTAGAATAGGTCGACCCTAAAAGTACCACAAACTATTTTGCCCGATTTATTTCTGTCACCGGCGGCAAAACTTGAAAAATAAGTAGATATGGCATCAAAAACTATTCATAAAAAGACGGTATGTGACCGACCTCAGGCAGTTTTCCTTTGGACACTGTGGTCACACTATCAGGTCGACAGGACCACCCCTAACGCAGTTCCCTTTGCAGGCGCCTCAAGAAATGGCTTTCCACAGTGTGGGTATTAAGTGACCCTATATATGACTCCAGTTAGATCGTATAATGATTGCTATCTATTTATACATACCACCAACCCTCTTATATAGTCGACTTAACTCGCATTAGTGAATAACGGAATAAGTCAAATACGTGGATAAAGTTTGAATACGTATATTTCGTACACTCGTTGATCTGATAATCAGAGAGACGGAGTGAAGGAAGCAAAACGAAATAACACGCAGTAGAAAAGGCAAGTGAGCCGACCCCATTTAACCAAGCGTGAATCGATATTTATAGTCAGACAAAAATAAGTTCCAGACACATGATGAATAGGGTAAGTAATTAACATACATACGATCATATAAAACACAGTCAGGGTTAGTAATCGAATAAAAGTGATAGAGTAAAAATGTCGTTTGAGGAGAATGAATAGATTGGTCTGGGCTTGACATAGTACCGGTCTCTGTAGGTAACTGAAACCTGACATCCACTCTCATTCGTATAACAGTACTCAAGATCGTCTTGCATTTGATTTATGTAATAGGCAATTGAAAGCTCTGCTTAACGTAGTTTTCACACTAGCTAAAACTCATCAACTATGCTAAAATAGCTCAGTAGTAACGTTTCTTACTTGCATACTGTCTAGCTGTTTGAGCTGTTTGAACTCCATAGTAATCATCAGTCCCTCTCAATATTTCAGACAACTCATTTCTTATTAACTAGCAAGAAACCTATATCCACAGCTCAATTGAGATTGCCACCATTCACTTAATAAGCACTTATTCTATGACTAATCACGAACATTCAGTTATATATATCACATTCTATATACATTCTTATCAAGAAAAGTATTTGATTAATATTTGTGTACTTTTCTCTAAACAAATAAAATCATAATGCATAATACACTTCGCATTTGCTTGGCCTTAAATTATTATCAATACAGAATGTCATTTAATCAATTCAGAAATAATACCATAGTTAAAGTGAATTTGAATCAATAATCGATAAGAGATAAAGAGGTATAAATTTATAAAAACCCTAGAGGGAGTATTGTTCTTTATATTTTATTTGGTCTTTAAAAGCAGAGATAAATGGTAAGTAGCAGTGGGACTCAGGTTACGCGTTTCATCCTATTTGGGACTCGTCTTCAGTTTCATTTATCCGCATCCTTAAGTTGATGTTCACTCTGGGACTTAAACCCAGTATCGTTAGCTTCGAATACCATTACGTTATCCAGTTAGCTACGGAGTTCAGATATTCACTGCTTTGTGCAATGATGTGAATTTTAATTCATTTATGATGCTTGTTTGATCTTTAGGAATACAATTGATCAATCTGTTCCAGTTCCTCTCATTAAGTCTGTAAATGTCGAAGCAATGCTACTAAGAATGAACTGATATTTGGAGTATAGTTCGAAAAGACCGAGTGGGAATATATTCATGAAGGGATACTGGAATTCAGTATTTAGAGGAAGATTAAATGTGAATGCATCTACACCAGCGTGAACGAATCCTAGTTATATCACCCGAAATCTCCAACCACTGAGCACGGTCATCGCACACACTGCCCACATGTCTCAGTCTATCAGTCAGCATTTTCATGGACTAATGCCATTTCTTGGTTTGAGTGTCCCTAGCTTTCTTCTAATATACTCGTACACCGGTCATCATTTTTTGAAGTAGGCGGTCGTTCGGCATGCGTAACATATGTCTTAATTAATGTAATCGATGAAGATTCATAACCTCATCAATCAACCACTGATTTTTTAAAATCTTTTTTCCAATATTCCTTTACTTTAAAGTTATCATTGACCATTCAATGATTTTGGGGTCGTGTATATAAACTGATGAAGCAGTATAAGGCTTCAGCCTGTTGATCTGACAAAGTAGACTTCTCACTACAACGTTAGATTAGTGGTCTTATATGGAAATGTGATTGGATTGCGTAAATATAGATGGGTTCGGCGACCGAATACTGTCCAGTTTATCACAGAACTTATGGGTTTGATCTAATGTTGCACCTTCGCCACACATACTCATGAGTAATCCTAAACTAGGATAACATCTATATTCAATTACTAACTGTTTTTTGTTAATAGTTATCTGGATGATATCATCAGTTTGTATTGTAAAGTGGTATGATTCTTCGCAAAACGTCTAGGGATGTCGTATTTTTCTTTTACCATATCGGAGTTTCAATATTTGGAAACCGAGTGATTTTAAAGAGTTTAAACATATCATCTGTCATTTAGCTGTTTAATAACTAATATATTCTACTCATTGCAACTACCTATTTACATCATTACCCATGTGAACGCTTTATTTATACATACTTACAAATTGAACGAATAATATCCTTTTCAATAGGTTCCCATCAGGATTGTTTGTAAAATAAAACAAAATTATCAGTATAAGTGTTTTGGAAGTTTTTGAATGTTATTGAGTTTACAAACAGACTTATGTTAGACAATCATTGAAAATCTAAAAGCATTGGCAGCTGGTTCGTCCTAGTACGGGACTCCTCAACAGTTCACATTCATGACCCTACCGTTGGGGATCGAACACATGACTTTCTGTCTCGTGCATGAATTATTAACTTCTAGACCATTTAGCTAGAGTTCAGCTTACGTCGGAACGTGATCTCAATTAATATGTGCACACTAGTAACTAGCGTCAAGAGGACATTTTCAGAGTTCTAGTGAGAATCCGTATCCAGTGAGGTTCAACCATATATCAAGTATCGCCAAATTTTCACATGTATTGTTGTATCACTTAAGTTTGAACACACGAATATTTCCTTGGTTTACTGAGTTGTGAAAAGTGGTAGATAAATTGTTTACTTTTCAAACCGATTGATTTCATGTTCGAACTCGCTTTCGTTTAATTCCCATTTCATAGATATATAATGTCATTAACTCGTACATAAAAATTACGACATAAAGCTATGTACACAAACGTTTGTTTGTTTACTTACCTGAATTAAGTTGTTTCTATGTTAAACAAAAGCGTTGTAAATCTATGTATATTCTGTAAGAGTTGCATTTATACAGAATGTAGTGCAGTTGTAATTTTTGCTAACATTAGGAACTTTTATCCAGAGTTACTTATCATATTGACTAATTGCTGAGTAAGTACGCAGTGTTATGTTTACGTAGTCATTAGTTCTGATTGAATTCTGTGGATCGATTTTTCTATCAGTCAGTCATGATTATCCTGGCACTGATGTCCGTCAGCCCATGTTATAACGTATTCCGTTAGGATGATGGGATGAAATAAACAAGGCGGATAAGCAAAATGGTTGGAATAAACCTAGTACCAGTGATAGTGTGAAAAATTGATGACACCCATCGACATACACAAATATGTCTCACAAAAATCACATTGACTGGGTTGACATGATTATGACTTGATCAAACCTGAATTCTGGTTGTATTGAATATTGTTGCTTTGTTGTTTTTTACTACTTAAATTTGTGTTAATTTGATTTGTAAAGAATTGGCTTACACTGATTCACTAGAGCATGACAAATATATCATACTTTTGATCATTACTGACGAAGAAGTCTAGAAAAACTATGTAATAACGTTGAAGCTCAGAACTTGGGCGAATATAAAGAGTGAATACATCTGTATCTTAATGACTAATGCTTGAGTTATATTAGCCAATGTTTCCAAAGTTACAATGTAGAAACTAGTATAAATAATTCGATATCATGTAATCGATGTTTTGATGTTAAATGGTTGAAGATAGTCGGTAGAAAATTCTCGGTCTTGGTATCATGTTAGTTGGAGCTTGTTAGGAGGGAACATTTGAGATCTTGTGGGAGCCGATATTTTCTGTAGGTTTTGAAACAGGTTCACAGTTTAAGAGGTACTTCTAGGCCACTCAGGTGGATTCTGTCGTCCCATAGGCTCGGATGTTTACATTAGTTGATCACTAACTAGTAAATTATTTAGTGCTTACATAGTCCCTAATGTTCGTTGATTTCTATCAGTCAAGTTACTGTGTGGTTAGGTTCTTGGTGTATGTGGACTTCTGACGAGTTTCATATGACAACGAAACAGTTGTTTAGGACTTCCTAATTTTCATTATTTATCTAATGCGATCAGTCCGTGCTGTTAGCTACCAAAACAGTTTTTCACTATATTCGTTTGTTACCTGACTGATTGGTTGGTTGATTTTGTCTACATATACCACCTATTCAACCTTCTTATTGGTATTTATTTCTTTCCATATTGTCTGTAGGTAGGTGGCTTAAAATCTGGCTGCTTCAAAATCGGTAATACAGGCGGAATGACAGACAATATACTGGCATCAAAACTTTATCGACCTGGAAGGTGAGTGTTGACATTCATATTTGTTTCGATAGCTGAATACTTCCGGTAAAAAGATTATTTTGCCTTATTCTATGTAAATTGTGATGTGTCATGTGGTTGATTGAAAACTCCAACCTATTCACTTTTCACGTCTTACCCATAATTTAGTGTTAAGTTCTACGATGTCCGATTCTGATGCTGACACACAATTTTTAATATACACGTCAAAGTAGCTACTTGAGTGAGAAGGAAGCATTATTGATGGAAACTGAATCGGAAGATACCTGTCCACTCGTCCATATATTTATGTATCAATCCACAATTTCGAATAATTACGTTTGTCTCGTTTGTTAGAAAAGCAATCCAGATCTTGGTCAATAGTGTGCTCTTATCCTCTGAGTCATACATCTGATTGACTCAATGTATCATGTTGAGTTTTAGTTTAGTCGTTTAATTGTTTCCATTGAACATATTTGTTCATTTGATGGAAACAGAAAAAATGATGTGCAGACAAAATAATGACAATTCGGAAGTAAGATCTACTGTTTGTCAAGTGGAGAGAGTTTAATCTACACTTGAACGTGGGATTAAACGTATTACGTTTATATACAGATTTCTGATTAGGATTGCTAAAACTGTTACACTGCACAGTATTCGGTTTTATATTCTTTTCAAGCCGATACTCATTTGACTGTATATGGATGATTCTTAAAGATAATTATGATAGGTAAGGTTTGGTGGTTGGTAAATTGATTAGACTTGACTGTGTGTGTATATTTGCGTTGAATGTTTTCAAATATTGAAATAGACGATACAATAAGTCTCATTCTCAGCCATTTATTTATTTATTTGCTTTCTTTCAGTGTTGCTTATGTATCACGTTCTGGTGGAATGTCCAATGAATTGAATAATATTATTTCAATGAATTCTGATGGTGTTTATGAAGGTGTCGCGATTGGTGGTGATCGTTTTCCTGGTTCAACATTTATTGATCATATTCTACGTTATGAAAATAATCCAGAAGTCGGTATGATTGTTGTCTTGGGTGAAGTGAGTAGAAAGTATGAAAGTGGTCATTCCATAAATTCTTTTCTAGAGAAAATAAAAAGTTCGTTTAAATTGGATAGTAACTGACAGTGGAACCCAGGAAGTTTCGTACTGTTGAGGATTCGTCAGCTGGGTGTACTTGAACCCTAGTGTTGCCACCTGGATATACCGAAATCCCAGTGTTGAACATCTCTGTATGAACATCAACACTGGGATGCTTTTTCATTCAGTTGACAAACCATCGATCAAACGAAACGTTCAGGATTCCATTGCTAGTCCATATCCTACTCTGATAAAAATTTGTAAAAAAGGTAATATTAATGGCATTCGCTCAGAATGCACGTTTGTCAATAGAGACTTATCAGTTTCAGTCCTTAGCATTAACAATAGAAAAATACAAGCTTTTAAAAACAAAAGAAATTCATTTGAAACAAAGTATGTTTGTTCTGCTATTTTAACTGAGGCTTATTCAGTTTCATTTTAGTTGTTGTATAGGTGCGTTAATAAGGATGATAAAATTGAGTAGATGCTTATTAGTCTTTCTTTTATATGCCATCAGTTTATAGAGTCATTGACCATTGGTCTAAGCTATGTTGGATGACTTGGCTCATCTGGCGTCGATTTGTAACAAGTACCATTTAGAAATTAACACATTGTTACTGTTATTATTGTTATCACTATCGTTATTATGGTAGAAAATGTGGTTTATGACTAGCACTGAAATTCAATATGTGTGTTTGGGACTAATCATTTGAATGTATCCACATCTCACTGTTGATCTTCACTGTACTACTTGAACCTAGTACCGAACGTGTTATTCACTGAGCTATTACATCTTGTGCAACGGGTATAAATTTTTAATTCAATTTGTAAATGCTTGAGGTGTCCCTTTGTTGATATTGGCGGCTGGATTTTGATCAGCCTACTACCAGCTAGAATTCATACATTCCATGAAGCTTGTGTCAAAATCACTATATAAAGGTGATCCTTACAGAATGCACACATTCTAAAAAAGACTGAGGCAAATTAAGTCTAATATATCACCGACAAGATATCTCAAACCTTTACGAATTAAGGTGGGAATTCAGGCTTGTCTATCGTGATGACTCAACGGAGCTATAGTGGCTGGAACACGTTATTTCAGGTCCTACTATGCCTACCAGGTCGGTTGTGGAAAGGTTAAAATGTCGCAATTTAAGGTCCGAGATCGAAGTCGTACTGCTAACTGTAATGAAGTATGACAACAGTAAGTTGTTTCCCCCGGGCAATCAGCATATGCATGAAGGACGAGGTTAAAGACGGTTGACCCAAAGGTGTCACAGCTCATCTTACTCTGTGAGTTTCCATTTCCTATAGTAAAGAGTTTTGAAGTGTGGAGCTACCACATCCAACAATTGTCATGAAAAGTTAGCGGGTGACCAACCTCGATCTCTTATCCTATATTCTCTGTAATCTTTCTCACAGGTCCCTAAGATCGCCACCACTAGTCGAGCTTTTTTAAGTCTCTGAAGGAGAAATATCCTTCCACAATATGGAGAGCTGGGAAGTGATAACCGCTCTCTAACAGCACCAGAGATAATATTGACTTATAAATTGGACATTATTATCATCATGGTTATTATTACTATTATTATTATCATCATCATCAGTATTTTATACTTCTTTTTTCTCTACCATAGGTTGGTGGTATAGAAGAATATGCAATAATTGAAGCGGTTAAATTGGGCAAGATAAAAAAACCAATTGTAGCCTGGTGTATAGGATCCTGCGGTGAATTATTAAGCGCTGCAGCTAATTCGAATAATAATACAGACAGTAATAATATTACTAGTGGTTCAATTCAATTTGGTCATGCTGGTGCATGTGCTAATTCTTTACAAGAAACAGCTACAGCGAAAAATCATGCATTGGCTAGTGTTGGTATATATGTTCCAGAATCATTTGATGAATTAGATCTCTTAATTAGGTTAGATTAAATTCCTCGTTTGTTCGTTTGTTTGCTTGTTTCTCTTCTCATCTTTATCCAACCTTTTGTCCATTTATGGTCATTTAATAATTTCGTTATTTCTGGCACAGATAAGAAACAAACAAACAAAATAACAAGTTGCAACATTTTGGAATGGTGAAAAAGATTTACAATTCATAGGTGGATATTGTTGAATGTATTTAAGTTATTCAAGAGCTAGAGATGGTTGCGTTGTGGCGCTTTCATTATATCATCCTGACCAATATCATCAATCAACAATGAATACTTCATAATTAAACCATTTCTAGCTTAATAAACTTAACAAAACACCAAACATTGTAACACTGTGTTGTATGCTACTTATATTGACAGATATAAGTAGTATGTAGCACCAATCGGAAGTGGAGTGCATGCCAGTAGGAAACTGAGAAGATTGAATTGAAAAGAAAAGAAAGGGAAACAGAGATCGATTGGAATAACAGCAGAATTGAAAGAATCATGAAGCATGTAAAGAAAAACTGATGCAATATGTGCAAATGATGTGTTTAATATGTGGTTTTCATATTTTACGAAAGTACCCCGTAATTTTGCATTAAACTTAAATTTTCGTCCATAACAACACTAATTTTAAACGTTAAAATTAAAGATTATCACAGGATAATTTCAAAATGAGAACAAATTTCCTTTGTTTCCCCAGTGATCTTGTAATATTATAATTGGGAAGAATTAGAAAGTGAATAATCAGTAGTGATCTATTAGAAATATGTACGTAAATATGGTATCCTTTAGCTTACTGGTATTATCTCGTCATCGATTCATACAGGGAGGTGCAGGGTTAATTCAGTAATTTGATTTCGTGAACAACTATCATTCGGTTGCATTACATGACGATCAGAACCTCATTTATTCATTTTGACGATGAAAAATTTTTTTTTCGTTTCATCATCAAATCTTCTATGAGAAACACATATTTTGACTGCTTTCAAACAAATCCTACAATCTATTTCAATGATATATGTCCTGTTGCTGGACAACATGGTTGTCTATTCACTATCTCTCTTTCCACTTATCTGAGCTTATGATGCAATCTAACTTAGATGCATTCACTCGCGCGAGACTGATATGTCCTGGGTTTGAATCTCGTGATGCGGGATCGTGAATGCGCACTGCTGAGGAGCTTCACAATAGGACGAGACGGTTATCCAGTGCTTCCGGGTTTTCCATGATGGACTAACTTCTATTGACTCGTGATCTTAACTATTAAAATTGCTATAATACCCACAGAAAACCCCTGATGAGGATCTAATCAAAAACAATATTGTTCCCTTAAATTTATGTTGTTCTAAACGTGGATTATTTAATATTTCAACTCTTGGTAGTTTATATATAATACATAGTCATCATAGTGCTTAAAAGCTTTCAACTTAACAATCTCTTGTCAAATACTGATTACATAATATTAGAAACACTAATATACTCTAACAAAATACTTGTCCAATAGTTCTCGACCTTTCTTTCAATTTTTTATTGCTGTCTAATTTAAATTAGGTTTTCATGTCAAATCAAAGCAAAATAACTGAGGTTAATACCAAGACTAAACAATGATCATCATAATAAAAATTCAGAATGGTTGTTTAATATAATAGAGTCTATTGTAATGATATAATCTGTACTGTGGTATCGGTTAGTCTTATCAAACTCCAACATGGTTTATATGGTCACAGTGATATTGATCATTTGAATTAGGAAAATAAAAAGAGCTTGACAACAGTTGAACTGATTAGAAAAAAGTAGTTAATTTTTATTTGTAGGTTGTATGACCATTAAAAATCATGGTACACCGGGCATGAACACTTACGCAAAGGTTCTACATGTTAAAACGTTTTGACCATGAAATCTAATGGTCTTGAGTTCGATAGTTTGTGAGCTTGTGACTATGCATTCAGGAGGGGTCATGTACGTTGTAGCTGACTGACTGACTGACAGAGGGAGAGAGGACTGTTAACCTGTATTGGTTGATTGTTTGTCTGAAACAAGATCACGTATTCCAAGAAATTATGAAGATTATAAAAATGACACACACACACCAAATATTTATCAAACCAAGGTAACGGTTACTAGAAGTTTCATTATCAAATTTGCAAAGACGTATCAAATATCTTGATTTACATATCTACTCTGACGATAACACAATCATTTTACTAATTTTGTAAATGTGATCTCATAATAACGCAGTATTATCTGAAAATTTCTAGTCTTTTACCTCATGCTATCATCGTCATATCTGTGTTGTATTGTACACTAAGTACATTCTTCCTCAATTATAATAATTTTTTTATTGAGATCATGAACAGATTGATGTTAGACCACCATCGAAAACCTAGAAGCACTGGATGCCGACTGAAAGCCCTGGGTTCGAATCTCGCGTTGAGATCGTGGATGCGAACCGCCGAGGAGTTCCATAATAGGACGAAACGACCGTCCAGTGCTTCCAGGTTTTCAATGGTAGTCTAACATCAATCGGTTCATGATTTCAATAAAAAAACTTAACAGTCTCAACAACTTTATACTGATATAATAATATTGATGTGAATTACTCTTTGAATGAACATATTTACGTCATCAGAAGGGGTTTTTGGATATAACGGTAATTTAATAGTTGACTTCATGAGTCCACTGGCGCTAGACCACCATGGAAAACCTGGAAGCACTGGACGACCGTTTCGTCCTACTGTGGGACTCCTCAGCAATACGCAGATTTTATTGTTTTTTCTTCAGTTTGTATAATCGACTAATTAATTTGTAATTTAGAATATTATTATTTCACTAAGTATATATATGTGCTTATATTTAACTTTTGTTTCACGCTTCTAAGTTCGTATACTAGTAAAGATGAGTTTCATGTTAAATTGATTAATTGTAGACGTGTTTTTGATGAACTTGTAAGAAGTGGTCAGTTAATCCCGAAAACTGATCATCCACCTCGTACTGTTCCAATGGATTATGAATGGGCCAAGGTAACCTCATTTACATAAATGAGTTTTGACATTTTGAGAAATTTTCTACTTGTTAGAATCATTTTTTCTTTTTCAATGTAGTAAACATTGTTAATGGGTTGACATTTAGTTCGTCAGTAACACTGAAATGTAATGCCAATCGATATATTTATAAGCAGAGATGCATTGTGGTTAACATTGGAAACCAAGACGTGCCTTCCGTCCTATTTGGGACTCGTCTGCAGTTGAATGTATCTGCACCCCTGAGTTAATGTTCGCTTTGGGACCCAAGTCCATCACCGTTCTCTTTAAACGTTATCGCGTTATCTACTTAGCTACTGAGTCTAGATAGCCACTAGCTTGTTCAAAGGGGACACGGAGACGTCCAGCTGATGAGTCCCAAATCGGACGAAACGCAAGTCCTACATTCCACTGCTAGCCACTATCATCTCCGCTCATAATTATTGTGACTGAAGGCACCATCGAGGCAATCCTAACAGGATGCACGTATGCCAATAAGACACTAATCATTTGAAACCAATTCAAAAATGATTTGATATATTTCTTTAAAACTACTATTCTTTGGCATGTGATTGTAAATTTGAAGGTTTTTGGATTTCAATCCGTGTAAATTCGTGGATATATGAGTACTGATGGCGAATAATCTCAAACACTTGTTTGATACTCTTTGCTTTTTCAATTAAATAGTTAGTATGTGGTTAAACACAACAATCTTTATAATTTAACTGTCTATTATATATGTACTTAAAATTTAACAGTCGATGATAACTACACACCCAGTTTTCGTTACATTCAGAACTATTGTTCATCCACTATCAGTTATGTAAATAACTGTTCTTATCATGAACTATCATTCAACTGAAGAACTTTAAGAAAAACCATAATATACTATGAGCTTGTTTCGTCCCAGTTTGTTGCAACATTCTTTAACAATGTACGTCCCCCGCATGCCGCATCAAGCATGAACTGTCGTCTCATATTATTTATCCTATAACTCGTAAACCTCTCTGAAGAAATAGCTCACACTGAGTCGCGAAACGTCAGAAAATCTTATTTTTCTACTCATTAGGACATGACAAATATATTAATTTATTTATCGTAAACATTATGTTTACTTATTTAAGGTACTATTTCATTTTTTTTGTTTCTATGCATATGTGTGAGCATGTGCGTGTTTATATTTGTCCTTGATCATAGAAATATGTATATGTATTTCTCCTTCATTCCTATATATCTTTTGTAATACTAATAAATCAATAAGGTAGAGAAGTTTGTTTACATTTAATGTTTGCTTGTGAAAGCAATTCGAACAGTAGTATCCTGTATTCGAATCACTCTATTTTTCATTTCTTATTTGGGTCGATTGAGAAATAGATGATAATGATGACGGTGATGATCATCCAATGATTGTGATTCGTGTTTTCCTTAACTTACTTTTTCTCTCCACATATTATTAGACTATCATTTGATCCTACGATTGCGTATGCATATATGTTGTATGTCTCTTTCTTTTTTATTTGTTGTTTTCTGTTGATCTAACTTCTTTTATTCTCTTTACATAAATCGTATTCTCAAGTTTTTATCCAATTAATTCGTAAAAAGAGGAGGTTGTTTCTAAACTGGCTAACAGTAAAATCCTTGAGAAAATCAACCTCATCTGAGTACTTTTCAACCTGCCTATTATATATATATATATACCTATTTCTTAGCCAACGAGATGCACTTGTCCTTTTAAGTCACTTCTGATTGACAGAGATTGACCTTCTCATCACTATATCAAATTTGTAGCGCCAATCTACTCCCACCCACGTCTCACGACGTACTTAGTTTTGCATTTCGTCCTCAGGTATTAGCCATAGAGTTCGCACAAATTGTGTACCACTGAATAGCGAACATGGACATGCACGGTATTTTTTTAGTTGAAAGAAGTCCATCTTTTAACGTACTCAAGTTAAATATAACTCAAAGCGCATATAATATCATATTGGAAATGCCTAACCGCACAGCACATGTAATATGAAATCACATCTTGAAAATAATCTAGCCACAAGTGGTAGAGGGCAGAGCAATTAGTACACAATTAATTAGCAATAATTGGGGAGCAGTAAAAGGTATTGATACAGTAAACAAGTCCACTGAAGACTTACAATAAAAGGAATATAGAGATACAAAAAGAGAGTTACTTACTATTTATACAACAAAAATACAGATAATAATAATAATAATAATAATAATAATCAAGAGAATAATTTCAACACTTCCAATTTTCCCAATATTCCTCCTGTCCCGAGCGCTCCTGTATTTTTAATAACGTAACTTCATTATTCTACTAGGTCATTCATCCATTTAGTTATGGCGAACGTTGAACTTGATAAAAATATACATCGGTCTAAGTATCCACATCAGTACAGTAAGATGAAATTACCAAGACGAGATACCCTGTATTGAAAGTAACACTGTCAGTGATAGTGAAAAAAAAATGATTGGAAATGGGGTATTTGATTCGAATAAATAGAGATAAATTCGCATAGCGAATAGTGTACAATAATATTAAAACTAGAAATCTACATTCTAGACAAAGAATAAATACGTCTATCCGACTGCGACTAATTTAATACCATTTAAACAGATCTATCTATCTAATCACTGATCGCAGTTATCATACCTCATCATAACCTGATAATTTCAACTTACCAACACGATTCAAACTAATTGTCAATGACTTCGTTGATTTAATTTGATCGTCTCTAGTTTTCTTTCAACCTATTTCGAGTAGAGCAAACTTCACTTATCTATATAGACATTGATTGGGCATATTTTATACCTGATCTATCCGCCACTACCACTTCCACCAGTGAATAATCACAATCTCATCAACCGATATGTCATCTTTGCCTAATACTCTATGTTCAACTGAAATTCTCATTGTTTTATTTGAAAGTTTTATAATTTTCTTTGGGAAATTTATACTGATTTGTTTCAAGTTGAATATTCCTCTGTTAACATTGAGTTATTATCATATTCGTTTCATTATTATTATTATTCTTTAAAGGAATTAGGTCTAATTCGTCGACCAGTTTCGTTTACATCAACAATATGTGACGATAGAGGCGAAGAGTTATTGTATGCTGGAATGCCAATTAGTCATGTGATTGAACAAGATTTAGGCATAGGTGGTGTTCTTGGCTTATTATGGTTCAAAAGAAGGTAATGTCGATCGATATTTTTTTGAATGATTTTCTAATATATAATCATGGATTCGAATCTACATAATGGGTTCATGGGTATATGGTATTACGAATAGCTATTTAATGTCTTGTGATTTTTTTTATAACAGTCAATCAGTGGCTAGAAGATTTATGTTTCGATGTAATAGTGTTCATAACTTCTCCATTATCTCAGTATTGACTTTTTATATGTTGATTTCGTAATTAATAGAATGAAAGATTTGTGCGAGTTGTTTCATTTGAAGGCTGTTTACATCACCAACTAATTTTAACTAAATCACTAGAGAGCACCAGACAATTGTCGCACTTGTGGTGTTGACCCCCCCTTGTTAGTAATGTGCGCTGATTATCTCACATCAATGGTCGAACTCATGACCTTAGTTAGAGTTTCACACGATTATCGTAACAAGTTTTCAGCGAAGGTGTGTTGTGATCGGTAGCGATATCCTAAGCGCATTCACTCATCGTCTTAAGATACACATAATTTTCATTCCTCGAATTCATTATTTCTTCTCGAATCATGTTTTCTTCTATCACTAGTACTGTTGCTTCTTCAACTATACTACTCTGAGATTTGTCTGAATAATTTTATCTAACTGTGCTGATATGTTGTGACAACTTGAATCAATACACACTTATATACTAGGTTCTACATTGTTTATGACTGAATGATAGATTTCTGTATTCTAATTCAAGCCGCATTCTTTTTTTTCCATAATATCTAACGATATGAATACCTGATCAACTAAATCAAAGCAAATGAGGCGAAGCTCGAACCCTGAATTTGCTTTTTGGAGCTCATTACTTCAATCTACACCTAATATATATGCTACTTTCTTTTAAATCATCTCTTAAGTGTTTATTGTCTATCTTCATTTAAAATGAAATTCATATACCTATCCCTCTATCTATCTATCTTTCTTTACACTTATTATCTATCTATTATATCATTAGATTACCTGAATATGCAACAAAATTTTTAGAATTATGTCTTATCATAACAGCGGATCATGGTCCAGCTGTATCCGGTGCACATAATACAATAGTGGCAACACGTGCTGGTAAAGATCTCATCTCTAGTCTTGTATCTGGACTTTTAACAATTGTAAGTTTGAATATTTTCTATTTTGTTTATTTTAGTGTATTATTAGTTTGTTTATATATGGAGTTATGTGTTACTGATCGATTGTTGTCTTTACTTGTTTGATAATTTTTCCTTTTGGAAAATAAAACTTTGGATATTGTAATCATAAATATGTCTTTAGTGAGTTTTTTTCTCGCCCATAGATACAATAATAAGTATTTTGATGGAGTATTGAATGGTTGTTAAATATTATATTTTCATAAGGAAACACCAGTTTAAAGATTCAAACAAACAACAACACAAAGATGGATTAAAACATCACTCCACTGTACGAGCTATTAGCTATCTGAACTCAGTAACTAAGTAGATAACGCGATGGCGTTTGAAGCGAACGGTACTGGGTTTGGAGTCACAGGGTGAACATCAACTCATGGATGCAGATTCACTCATCTACAAATGAGTCCCAAATAGGATGAAACGCACGTCCTGGTTTCTACTTCTAGCCACTATCCATCTGTGCCCAGAAATGTTTTGATTTTGAAATGATGAAAGTGAAACTTTTGTAGTTTAGGTAAATGGTTTTATAGATATTGGATTTGCTAAGCTGAATGGTTTACTGTGATACAGACTGGAAGTCAGTCACTAGTGCTGTTAAATGTATGAGGGGATTACTAATTCCCGGTCACGCCTCCTATGCACAGATAACTCTTTTTGAAGGACCTGGAATGTGAACTAGTCTTAGTAACCTTGAAATGTGATAATAAACTCGAAGGAATAACTATCTGAGACCAGTCACACATGTCCTCTTTATGAGTGGTTTTCGATGCTTTGCCTTGGTACTTTCCAAGCCTAACCACTGACGACGGGAATCAGTGAACAAGATAAAGTGTAGTACTTTTAGAATCCAGCTTTGAGGTTCAAACTAATAAGGGAGAATAAAAAAAGGTGCGCACTAATAAGGGCGATCATGAAAGAGGCATATATTACTGAAGGTGATCATTGAAACAGGGAATAAAAATTTGAATGATGTGACAATATATTTGATTCCCGTACTAGGACAAAATGGTTGTCCAGTGCTTCTACATTTTCAGTGGTTATCTGACTTAAATCGGTTCTTGATCTCGATAAAATTCATTAATCTCCACAACCCTATATTTACCGATATCTACTTATTTCTTACGGAAATGATTTTTTTTCTTGTTAGGGTGATAGATTTGGTGGTGCATTGGATGCTGCAGCGCGTCAGTTTTCACAAGCTTATGATGCCGGCTTAACACCTATTCAGTTTGTTAATCAAGAACGTCAAGCATCACGTCTTATCATGGGTATTGGACATCGGATTAAATCTATAACTAATCCAGATAAACGTGTTCAGTTACTGTCCAATTATGTACATGAACATTTTGTAGCAACTCCAGTTGTTGACTATGCACTCGAAGTTGAAAAAGTTACCACTAATAAGGTATTTATTATTATTATTATTATTATTATTATTATTATTATTACGTTCTATAGATTTGAATGTTTGTCTGAGTCTTATTTTGCTTCATATAATCTCATTGAGTGTAGTTATGAATTTCGCGTTAACAGATTTTGAATACAGTGGTTCACCAGTAACATACAATTGTTGCGAAATCTTAAGTCCTGTGTTTAACCTCATGGTCACCAAATAGTGTGTATATTCTCATATAATAACTAAATAGTAGTAATATTAGGAATTCTTATCCTGGTTTTTTTATTAGTTTCCAAATTGTTGTATGAGCTGTGGAAGTGGTAGAAACTTTTGTATGACTCGATAGCATCATCATTGATAAACAAAGAGAGTCTGATACAGATGTGAATGTACGGATTGGTGAAGCAAAGGAGGCATCCTACAATTGAAGAACATCTTGTACTCAAAACAATGCCAAAGTCAGAATTTTTAATAAAAACTTCAAAACAGTTAGTTCTATTGTACCGAGCTGAAACTTTGAGAACTGTTACATTCATCCTCAAAAATGTACAATGTTTATAAATAGCTGTTTATGGAATATATTCCAGATTTGTTGGTCAGACCTGATCAACCACAAATTCCTGTGGCAGAGAACAGTCAGCTTCCAACTGAAGAGAAGGATATTAAGAAATGACGTAGGAGGTGGATAGGACATATACTGAGGAAACTATGAAACTGTATCACAAGGGAAGCCCTTACTTAGAATTTTGAAGGCATAAGGAGAAGAGGTGGACCAAAGAACATATTGCACCGAGCATCAGAAGCAGACGTTAAAAGAATGAATAGTACGTGGCAACCGTTGGAAAGGAGAGGACAGGACAGAGTAGCTTGGTGACCAACGATTGGTTCATACGCCATTTGTTCCTTCACGATCGTGAAGCCCATATACACTATTAGTTCGGAATCAGGGTTTTCCAACTGCCCTAGGTGGACTCTCCGTATTCACTAACCCTGTTAAAGCACCGGACATTCGCTTTACGTCCTCTCAATTTCGTAAACACCGGTGCCACGAGAAGGCAATGAGTAGGACTTCCCTGGAAGTGGTTGTATGCACGTGGCCATGTGAGAGCATTTCGAGAGGGAAAGCTGACTCCCTGCACTGTCGGCCATATCAGGGCATTTGGGGGATATATATTGGAGAGTCTCCCTGTGAAATGTCGACTCCCGTCAAAGAACACATAAGCTACACAAGAAGACTACATAATAATCCAGTAGGATTGGAAAATTTACCGGTTAAACCAGCAATATCAGTGCATGCTATTTTCAATAGTCACCAAATTGATATTTTAAAATATGTAAATAATTCAGAAAAGCTTTTCCAACTACAAAGAGAAGCAAGTAGCTAAAGCGTTTCATATAATGCTAAATCGCTCTGCCTTCAATAGGAGAGAAGGCCTGAATATTCATCTAACTTGGATTGTTTATCCAAACAATCACATTTTGACCTTATTCATTTTCCAGACAATGTATAAACACTCACCCCACTACTTCATATTACAAATGCATACATTTTTCATAATCAAATTCTAACACACAAATTAGTATACAGTGACAGGTTATACAAATTCACCTTGACATATTCAGACCTAGTGTGATTTTGATTGTATTAAAAATACTTTGCTTGATCTGCTTTGTAGTATTTAAACTTGTGTTAATTTACTTACTTACTTACGCCTGTTACTCCTCGTGAAGGAGCATAGGCCACTCACCAGCATTCTCCATCCAACCCTGTCCTGGGCAATCCTTTCTAGCTCCGTCCAGTTGTAATTCATCCTTTTCATATCTGCTTCTATAATCCGACGCAATGTGTTCTTTGGCCTTCCTCTTTTTCGCTTCCCTTCAGGGTTCCAAGTTAGGGCTTGCCTCGTGATGCAGTTTGACGATTTGCGTAATGTATGTCCTATCCATTTCCATCGTCTTTTCCTAATTTCTTCTTCAGCTGGAAGTTGCTTTGTTCTCTCCCACAGAAGGCTATTGCTGATGGTATCCGGCCAGTGGATGTTGAGTATCTTGCGTAGGCAGCTATTTATAAATACTTGTACTTTCTTGATGGTGGTTGTTGTAGTTCTCCAAGTTTCAGCTCCATACAGTAGAACTGCCTTGACGTTCGTATTGAAGATTCTCACTTTGATATTGGTTGAAAGTTGTTTTGAGTTCCATATGTTCTTCAATTGTAGGAATGCGACCCTTGCTTTGCCGATCCTCGCCTTTACGTCTGCATCTGAACCTCCTTGTTCATCGATGATGCTTCCTAGGTATGTGAAGGACTCTACATCTTCCAGAGTTTCGCCATCAAGAGTGATTGGATTGCTGTTCTCCGCTTGAATTTGAGGACCTTGGTTTTCCCTTTGTGTATGCTGAGGCCTACTGATGCAGAGACTGCTGCTACACTGGCTGTCTTCATCTGCATCTGTTCGTGTGTACGTGATAGGAGGGCTAGGTCGTCTGCGAAGTCCAAATCGTCTAATTGATTCTGAGTTGTCCATTGTATTCCGTGTTTTCCTTCAGATGTCGAGGTCTTCATAATCCAGTCGACCACCAGAAGAAAGAGGAAGGGAGAGAGTAAACAGCCTTGTCTGACTCCAGTCCTTACTTGGAATGCATCTGTCAGCTGTCCTCCATGCACTACTTTGCACTGTAGTCCGTCGTATGAGTTCCGGATAATGTTGACAATCTTCTCAGGAACTCCGTAGTGTCGAAGAAGTTTCCATAATGTCCTCCTATCTACACTGTCGAATGCCTTTTCATAATCAATGAAGTTGATGTATAGTGATGAGTTCCACTCAACTGATTGTTCGACGATGATCCGTAGTGTTGCAATTTGGTCTGTGCACGACCGATCCTTACGGAATCCAGCTTGTTGATCTCGAAGTTGGGCGTCTACTGCATCCTTCATCCGGTTCAGCAACACTCTGTTGAAGACTTTCCCTGGTATTGACAGTAGTGTAATGCCTCTGTAGTTTTCACATTTGCTCAGATCTCCTTTCTTTGGAATCTTGACGAGGTGTCCTTCTTTCCAGTCCATCGGCACTTGTTCCTCCTCCCAAATCTTTTTGAATAGAAGGTACAGCATGCTTGTGGTTGCTTCGATGTCTGATTTCAGTGCTTCAGCTGGTATGTTGTCGGGTCCTGCTGCTTTCCCGTTCTTGATTTGTCTGACGGCCATTCTAATTTCTTCCGTCGTTGGTGGGTTGACATCTATAGGAAGATCTATGTGTGCTGCTTCGATGTCCGGTGGATTCATTGGAGCCGGCCTATTCAGGAGTTCCTCGAAGTATTCCACCCATCTGTTACGCTGATGTTGAATTTCGGTGATTGGCTTGCCTTCTTTGTCTTTGACCGGCCTCTCTGGTTTACTGTATTTCCCTGCTAGTTTCTTCGTTGTATCGTAAAGCTGTTTCATATTTCCTTCTCTAGCAGCTTTTTCTGCCGTCGTTGCTAGTTCTTCCACGTATTTCTTCTTGTCGGCTCTAATGCACCTCTTCACTTGTTTGTTTGCTTCTATGTATTCAGCTTGTGCTTGAACTTTCTCTGCTCGTGTTCGGCTGTTGTTAATTGCTGCCTTCTTGTTCTTCCTTTCTTTGATCTTGTCCAGTGTTTCTATAGAGATCCATTCCTTATGATGGTGTTTCTTTAGGCCCAGAACCTCTTGACACGTTGAAGTTAATGCTTCCTTGATGCCTTTCCAGTTGTCCTCCATACTAGTTTCTTCTTCTTTCAGTAGATCTTGTAAGGCTTGGAACCTGTTGTTGAGAGCTATCTTGAATTCATTGAGTTTGTCAGTATCTCGAAGGAAGGCTGTATTGAACCTTTGTAGTGCTGTTTGTCCACTTGTCCAGTTCTTTTTTAGCTTCAGTTTTAAATTGGCTACAACTAGGTGGTGATCTGAAGCTACGTCAGCACCTCTCCTGGTTCTCACATCTTCCATTGTCCTTCGGAATTTTTTGTTGATGCAAATATGATCTATTTGGTTCTCTGTAGTGTGGTCCGGTGAGATCCATGTAGCCTTGTGTATACGCTTGTGTGGAAATATTGTGCCTCCTATGACCAATTTGTTGAATGCACATAGATTTGCAAATCTTTCTCCATTTTCGTTTCTTTGTCCCAGTCCATGTCGTCCCATGATATCTTCATATCCGGTGTTGTCTATTCCGACTTTGGCATTTAGATCTCCCATCAGAATAGTTAGGTCCTTTCTTGGCATTTCTCAATGATTGACTGTAGCCGCTCGTAGAACTGATCTTTAATGTCGTCGTTGCTATCATTGGTGGGTGCATAACATTGGATAATATTCATTAAGATCCCCTCCTTCTTTGTTTTGAATGATGCTTTGATGATTCTGGATCCGTGAGACTCCCATCCTACAAGTGCATTTCGTGCTACTTTGGACAGCATAAGAGCGACTCCCTGAGTGTGTGGAGCATTGTCCTCCTCGTGACCGGAGTATAGCAGCATCTCTCCCGTAGCTAGCCTTTTCTGTCCAGCTTGGGTCCAGTGGGTTTCGCTGATTCCCAGTACTGCTAAGTTGTATCTCCTCATTTCCATTGCTATTTGACTGGTCTTCCCGGTTTCCCACATTGTTCGAACGTTCCATGTACCTATAAAAATTTTTGCTCTGGTTGTTAGAAGGGGCATCGGCCTCGTGGCTTCCGAAGGAACTCGGCTTTCACCATGAAGCGTCATAATTCTTCTAACTGAAGACCTTCTAACTCCCAGGGCAGAGTTTAAATGGTTTGGATTATTTTTTCTGGTAAGCGTTTTTTTAGCGAGTTAGTTTTCTACGGGATGGGGACGCTAACCCCATGCCCAACCCTCCTCCTTTACCCGGGCTTGGGACCGGCAGTAACCCTGTTAGAGCTACAGGCGGAGTTAATTTGATTTTGGTTATATATCCACTCTAAAGGAAGTGGCTTACATGAAGTCACGAAACGTTAAATATATAATTTTTGTACTCATCGGATATAACAAAAAGATATTATTATAGATATCATCGTCAATAAAGTAATAACTTACAAAATGTCACTTCTTCTCTACAAGTAAACAACAACGTGTGAATTTAAAACTTCACAAGTTAGTAGCTATGAAGACTCAGTAGCTAAGTGAATAACACGATGGTGTTTGAAGCGAACAGTACTGAGTTCAAGTCTCAGAGTGACACATCAACTCTGAGATACAGATATATTCAACTGTAGACGAGTCCTAAATAGGAAAAAACGTGCGTCAACCTAGATTCCACTACTAGTCACCATCCATCTTTACTTATAACACCCCCACCCCCCACCCCCTTCAAATTTTAATAGAAAATATACTTCACTTGTAATTTCTATCAATTTGTTGAATATTTCCACTTTCTGTATATATACATCCATAGAAAATATACAATTACAGAGTCATCTATTCGAATTCACTATCATTTCTCCTTTATTATTATTATTATTTGATATGTAATAGTTTTTGAAATGCTAAACGAAATTCCATATTGAATATTGTATAAATAATTGGATTTAATGCAGAATTAATATAACCAGATGGATAACACGATGGTGTTTGAAGCGAACAGTACTGAGTTCAAGTCTCAGAGTGACACATCAACTCTGAGATACAGATATATTCAACTGTAGACGAGTCCTAAATAGGACAAAACGTGCGTCAAACTAGATTCCACTACTAGTCACTATCCATCTTTACTTATAAAAGCTTGAAACTTAAAGCAATATCATGGTATTCCATACAGGAAGCACATATGCCAGTAAGAGACTAATCAATTGTACTCCTAACACGATAATGAGAAGATACAAGTAAACAACACTAAGTGAATCTTCATATCTTCTGTTTTTCTTTCTATCTACATGTTAGAAAACAGTTTTAAAAAGTTGTCAATATCTAATCATTAATACTAACAATCATGTTAATTTAATATATTCATTATATTTATCTATTGTTAGTAGTAGTAGTAGTAGTAGTAGTGGTTATCTTTCAGTTAAGAAGGAAATAAAGATTATTTGAGTAGGTGAAGTGTGAGTGTATTAGATTTAATTGGATTTATGGTATTTAAAAAAAAAAAAGTAAGAAAGAAAGAATTCAAATCAATTAAATTCTTTGTTGAACTCTTAATCTTTCTTTCTTTTGTCGTTGTTGTTGTTGTTGTTGCTGACGGACTATAACTCTATTCGTTTTTATTTGTTTATTAGTTTATTGTTTATCATATTTGTTTTTTTTTTATAGCGTCCCAATTTAATATTAAATGTTGATGGTATGATTGGTGTAGCAATGGTAGATTTGTTAAGAAGCTCCGGTCATTTCACACAGTAAGTTTTTTATTATTTTATTCATAAATCTAATCATATCAATCCTATCAGCTAAATTAATGATTAATTTCTTGATTATGTATAATCAGATTAAGTATTCGAAGAATACTGTTTATATATATCTTTATGTAAATGATCTGGTTATGATCACTACTTACTGAAGTTACCTTATACTATTTATATGATGTTATCGTTAACAACTCTGTTTACGTCCAAAGTTGTGTTTGTTTTGCTTTCAATTGAGTTATATAAGGGTATAACACAACAAATTGGTTTATTGTTGAGAGCTGTTGTTAATTCCTGTCAAAGATTTGGAGAAAACAGGAAAATACTGACAGTACTTCTGTTGTGTCTTTAAGGTCGGCTAGTTATCAATCATATGATTTATCTGCCAATCGAAATACGACTTATGCAATCTTAACACTGTGCCAAACCAATGAAGTTCAATCGGTATGAGCAGCCTAGCGTCCTTATTGATCCTTTATTCACCTAGCCCATCCAGTTGAGTCCAGAACGCTAATAACAGCTTCTTCATGTATTTCAAACATACTTGGTTTATATACCAGTCAAACAGATCACATCACCTATAAAATAGGAAATGATAAGATCAAACCAAAAAGTGACTGTGAACGTGAGAGATTGTAATCAATAAACTGAACATAACTTAAGAACAGTAAATCGTATAATAATAATCTATATGCCAACATGAGGCTTATAATAAGAGGAATATAGATATACACTATTTAGTTACTGAATAATGATACAATAACAATATATATTAAATATTAGTCGCGTAATAGTTCTTGGAAGATACTCGTAATCTAATCTTCACTAGGATATAACAATTTTTACCAGTTGGTGTTCTCTTAAACAGATCATGTTTTATGGTCCTGATTAGACGGTTATTGATTTTTTCAAAATCGATTTCCGTATTTTCTAAAATTTTTTGAAATTTCAAGTACAAAAATATATCACTAAAAAGATTCCTGTTTTCTCTACAAATTGAAACGTCTTTCATCAGTCAGTCAGTCAGCTACAACGTAGGAATAGTGCATATATGCATCGGTCCAAGATGCCACACCTCATTAGAACAACGAGATGAACACCGGATTCATAGGAGTAGTTAAGTTAATAGTGATAATATATAAAAGAAAGATTGCATATAAGAATATAGTACAGGGAGAAAGAATTAGTTCGTAGAAAGAAAGATATGAAGCGATTTTAATCTCATAGTTTAAGGGAAGACAAAGAGTGTATACACCTACACCATTGTGATCGGTTCTGTTACATATAAGATCTATTTACGTACTTCTTCTGTGAACACTTCAATGTAATGCACTAAAAAACCTGATAGATGAGAAAAGCAACTACGAATAAAGGGACATTTTTATGTTAGAATGAAATTCCCAATGAAGTATTCACCCACTAAATGAACGAAAAAAAAGGGTAAAAAATGGTAGATATTACACTAGATATTCAACTATTGGAAAGTGTTTGTACCAATAATTCTTATCTCGTTTCAATGAATGTCAATGACCATTAATTTGTAGTAAATTAACCTGCAAATGTCCTGGTTTGGTTGATGTTTGGAAGTTTCCACTCTCTCTCTCTCTCCCTCGAAATACTCTTATGTACCCATGAGTATAAAGCCACTCCCAGGGAAGTCCTACTCACTGCCTTCGCGCGGCGGCAGTGTTGTTTACGAAATTGGGAGAACTAAAAGTGAATATCTGTCGCTTTAACCGGTCGGTGGATATAAAGAGTCCACCCAAGGGAGTTGGGAAACCATGATTCTAAACCAATGATCCACACGGGATCCAAGATCCTGAGGGAAAAATTAGTGTATAAATCTATTTTCGGTTATCGGTTACCATAGATCCACATGTTCTAACGTCGCTCCACTACCTTATGAATTAGATCACTAGGACAATGGTTTCAGAAGTAGCTATCTTACAAAACCACTTACTTTGGTTTGGGCACCCGAACATTAATCGAACCCATTAACAAATTCAATGATCGGTGTGACGTTAATTTATTTCGGTATCTCTCTATACCAGTTTTTATGTGTTCCAATATATAAAGACAAAGAGATTAAATTTTCTCAGAATGAGTTTTGTGGATACTTTTAGAAATTTCACAGGTGACGCAACTTCGTGGATTGGTTAAAGTTAGACATTAACACCGTTGGATGCCGGCTCAGTGGTCTAGTAGTTAAGTGCTCGCGCGCGAAGCCAGTGGGTCCTGGGCTCGAATCCCGCTAGATGCGGGATCGTGGATGTGCGCTGCTGAGGAGTCCCACACTAGGACGAAACGGCCGTCTAGTGCTTTCAGGTTCTCCATGGTGGTCTAGCTTCAATTGACTCATGATTTCAACCTGTGAAATTTCTAAATTTTCTCAATTATTACAGATCTTATTGATTACGTAATTTGTAAACAGATTAAACTAACAGAAAAAAAAAGTGTATTCAATTTCTTTTCATTTACTGGACTGAATTTATTTATATCTATTCAAACAATTGTAATTTGTTTGATTTTATTTATCCATTTGATTCTAATTAGAGAAGAAGCCGAAGAGTATATTACCATTGGAACATTGAATGGCTTGTTTGTTTTGGGTCGATCAATCGGGTTTATTGGTAATTTTAATTGTTTTTTTGGAATAAGTATTGGATTTTAGTGTGTTGTTGTTTGGCTTGTATGTGTATCACTGACAATGGGATTAATGTAACGTGTTTCGTCCTACTCGACCCCCCTCGTCACGTACAACTAGCTGACTTGTACTAAATATGAACGAAATGCCTATCTTGGATTCCACTACTCTAACAACATAATAAGAATATTTAAAATTTGGTTAATTTATTGTTTGTGCTCCATCGCTATGTCCGAGACTGACACTGATGCACAAACTTCCTATGCATAATCCACCAACCAGCTACTGAATAAGAACACTAAGAGTAAATAAGTAAGTTTATTGGACTAAACCGATGCATATATATATATACCCCTTTTTAAATTAAATCATTTCTCGGCCGGTCACATGTAATTGTTATTAGATTTTGTTTGTCACAACATGGTCTTCTAATTTGATGACTTTTGATTTACCCACTACATCAATAATATAGAAGTAATCTTTTCATGATGCACATGTAACAACCAAGACTGATTCATAACGGAGTATTAAATATCAATAACTGGAACCCATAAACCCATATGAATACCTTCATACAAGTTAATGACTATCTGAAATTTCTAGTTCATTGGATAATTTGTTTTTGATATTTAAAACTATGTATGTTTGCTGAGTTTGAATTCTGGTGTAGACAATATTAGTAAGCAAATAATTACAGTTAACATGTTCCAAATAGAATGAGACACCACACTTTTAACCAAATATTGAATGAGAAGTCACCAAATTCTTATTTGACTATTACATTAGACTGTTGATTTATATTGAATACTAAATGTTAATAATAATGTATATTTCTGTTGTTTCTTTGAATCTCCCCATTGATGTTTAGAACTGCAAATGATAAGTCTCATATTGGCATATATGCATTCTGTGCGGATTGCTTCGATATTGCCTTGAGTCACTAGCATTATAAGCAAAGATAGATGGTAGCTAGCAATGGAAACCATGGGTGAACATAAACTCTGGGATGCAGGTACATCTAGCTGACGAGTGCCAAATAGGACGAAACGCGCGGTATTGTTTGCACCGCTAGTTACCATCCATCTTTGCTAACAATAATAATAATAATAATAATAATAATAATAATAATAATAATAATAATAATAATAGATTCTGTTTAAAAAATGCCAAGTATTACAAAACAAATTTAAGTGATTACCGGGACGTGATTAGGATTCGAATTGATCAGTTAGTCATTGATGTAAATTTCAGTAAACTAAAACCTCCAAAAAATTCATTGATTATCCCACTATTATTATGCTGATTTAACTCATTTGAACATGAAGGTGGTAATAAATGTATACAGCTGAATTTAATGGATTATCAATTGGCTTATTAGTTACACTGCTGAGCTATAATATTTTAAGGTCAATTTTTCGTTTACGGTCTCAGAGATTGTCTTTGTTCTTTCTTCTTTACTTACTGCTCGTAGACACATGCATAAACACACACACACACACACACACCTTCAGACTGATGTCTCTGAGCGTGATTATATGATAAATAGCATTAATTGCAATATTCCTTCTGATACGACAATAGTTTTGTCAGTTCAAATTATCCATTGCAAATTGCTTTCTAATCGATCAATCAACATATTGTTTGTCAAAATTGTGATTTCTTGATTTCCATTCAAATTGTTTATCAATAGATTTTTCAAACAATCGTGGATACGCATTGCTGAAGAGTCCCAAAATTGAACGAAACACCCGTTCAGTGCTTGCAGGTTTTCCATAGTGGTCTAGCTTCAATTGACTCATGATATCAACTATTAAAATTACTATAATATCCACAAAAACCCCTTCTGATGCTAATTTGATACACTTTAAGAGATGGGTTAATCAGAATTGAGAACATGAGATTTTGCGCCAAATTCGAATATCACTTATAACGAACAGTAGATATTTCAAAATGACACCGGAAAATTACGTTTTGCAGCCATAGTGTAGAAATAATAGTGTTAAATGCATTAAATCCCCTTTAATTCTAAAATAAACCTTAATTTGGTTGTATTCTATGGACGAATTAACCCGATAATGCCTCTTAGAACTTTGAGTGAAGTTCATGCATCCGTATGGCTATTGAGTATTCCCCTTAAACCTAACTTTAATTAGGAACAGTGTGAAAGAGTCTTAAAAATTTATTTGGATCCTTTTGAAGGTTAGAGAATATGGACAGTTCATATCCAAAGGTACGACTTTATATATCGTTGTTTTTCGGATTTATGGTTTGAGTAACCTAAAGAAGACACTGATCGACTGATTTTTTAAAATCTGCTTACAATCCGCAATATTATCAATGGAGATCATGAACTGACCAATGTTAAACTACCGTTGAAAACCTGAAATCACTGGACGGCTGTTTCGTCCTGCCTTGGGACTCTTCGTCAGTGCACATCCACGATCCTGAACGCGGGAATCGAACTATCCGCGTACAAAAACCAGTCTTCTGATTGCCTAAAAATTGTCTAGGGATCCATTGCAGTTGTTCTGAGCATGTTTTTATACTGTCCCCGGAAAATCTACTCAGTCCTTTCGTGAAAGTTGCGTGTTATTAGTGTACTACTTATGAGCAACTAGAATTTACAACCCCTCCTGTCGTTTATTGGTTATTTGTAAACTAGCTATTTTCTCACTGTTGTTTTTGTGACTATCAGACAGTCTTCTGATTCTTTCTATTTAGCATGTGTTGTTTCGGGAAATATTATGCTCTCCAAATTCTTAACATGTATATTTCTTATATCGAAATTTGGATTTAATAAGTCCGATCAACAATTTAACATATATCTTAATATAATGTTCCATTCTTTTAGTTTATCACTATCCCTATGCCATTTTTGCGTCTATTCATGACAGTAAATTCGTTTGCAAACCATTTTCATCTTTTTACAGTATTCAGTTTCTTGCCTCCAGAACTAAACTAACCGTTATCCTACTAATTTTCTACGTCTTTCATCTGGTGAACTAACTACTTATTTATATTTGAGTAGATTAAATAGTATTGCTAAAATAATCAACAATCCTAATCAAATCTCAAGTTCACATACATACAGTTAGAAATAATTTTGAATATAAAAGTCAATTTTTATACAATTTCTTCATAGTTAATGCTCTTTCATCTTTATTTTTATAGGTCATTACCTGGATCAGAAACGTTTACATCAAGGCTTGTATCGTCATCCATGGGAAGATATTTCATACATGTTACCAAAACATCCATAATTTGTGAAGACTTATGTCTAAAAAGGGTCTTTTAATTTACTAATTATCTATCAAGTTAAATATAACTTGTTACCTTTCATTTCATTAATGAGAATTGAAGAAATCCAAAAGTTTCCTACAGAACATTTTACCATATAAATATGATTCCTTCATGAATATTATTTAACTGGATAATACGGTTGTGAGTATCATTGTTTCTCAATGTTTACAATTCAATATATTACTACTATTATTATTATTATTATGACCCTTATTATGAATATGATTATTATTGATGAAATAAATATCCATTTTTATCCATTTTCGATTTGATATTTTATCGGAACTATGTGAAATTGATCACAATGCATTTCACTTATCATTACCACTTTTCCCCTTTAAAATAATCATATTATGATTGTGTTCTTTTTGTGTTTTTGTTACATTTCATATTCTTCTTGTTGAGTATGTCTGATAACTTCATTAAATCTATATATTCTGTCTTTTGTTTTTTTGTTGTTGACCATTTTATTCATTAGTTACCTAGGTTACTCGTGAATGCTAGTAAAATGCGCGCACAGACACATACATACGTACATACACATATGTGTGTTTTTATTAGTATTTCTTTAACATATTTCAAATGGTTGTGGTTTCTTTCAATGGTTGTGAACACTACTCACTACTACTACTACTACTAGTAGTGGTAGTACTATTTATAATTATGCCACATACACAGTGATAAAATGTTCAGTTTGGTAACTATTTGTGTGTTTGTCTTAAACAATGGATGCTTAATATTACTATTATCCGGTTGCATAATGAATAGAATGATGTCGATATACTGTGTGTTTGATGTTTGACTTTCTTTTGAATCTTGTTCTTCTTTTTTTTCCGGTTGTTTTTTTTTAAAGAAGGTTATTTATTCACCTAACAGAGAGCATAGAATGGACATTGTAGAATATATACTTTTCATCCATATATTTACTAAATAAGATTGTGTTAAGTAAATACTCGCCCTTCATCTCTTTCTTATACACATTTCCATATGTCTATCTATATATACGAGCATGATTATATGATAACCCATCAGAATATGCTCCTCTTCTGTATTTCTTTGTTTTTTCTATTCTTCTTTCTTAGTTATGCTTCTATTCTTAAATTGTTTACTGTTTCTTCATTTCTTCATTTTCTCCTCCTTCTTTCATTTGTCTACATAACTTCATTGATTATTTAGAAGTAGTACTATAATAAATTAATAATTAATTACTATTCAATCGGTATTATTATTTGTGTATTGTTAAACATTGAATTGATATGTTAATGTTATTGGTTCATCAAGTGAAATTGCAATCATCATTTCATGAGATCACTGTGTTTTAAATGTTTATTGATGATGACGAGGATGAAATGATGGAATGTAGATGGCACAGCCGAGAGTGGGGGGAGTCAGCTCTGGCTCTCGAAATGCTTTCATATGGCCACATGCATACAACCACTTCCAGGGAAGTTTTACTCACTGCCTCTTCGTGGCGGTGGTCTTGTTTACGAAATTGAGAGGACGAAAAGCGAATATCCGGCGCTTTAACTTCGTTGGTGGACACGAAGGATACACCTGCGGGAATTGGAAATCCCTGATTCCAAACAAATGGTGTCCATGTGCTTCACGATCCTGAAGGAACAAATAGCGTATGAACTAATCGTTGGTTACCAGCTACAATGGGATTTCATCTCCTTACGTTGCTCCATTGCCTTGTCGATCAAACTTTTAGGTCGAAGGCTCCGGGCATGACCCCTAAGAAAACCAACTACTTCTGTTCGGACACCCGGGCCCTCACATAAATCGAGTGATTTATGTGGCGCTTATCTATTTGATGTCTCCTTGTACCATTATTTATATGTTTAAATAAACAAAATAATTAAATATGAGCATATTGTGCTGTTGCATGATAAATTTAGTTACAGATTTAAAACGTGACCACAGATGATCATAGGTGTCTTCGAAGTATTACTCGTGTATGTTAGGGCTAATGAGTGAATAATACTAAAATGTAAAAAGAATTGCACCAGATGAAGATATCAAATCAATTGATGAGGTAATGAGAATGTAAATGAGTGAGATTTAAACGCTCAGAATTTGAGGAGAGATAAAGAGTTGATGCACCCATGACCACCCCTCGAGGTACACGGTGGTCGAGTATATGTCAGAAATGTGCCAAGTGATGTAGATTCACTACCTGATCAATCGGGTTTTCGTATATACATAGTGCCTTGTGTTTAACCCCAATTTTGTTCATTCAATGGTCCTACAATACACGAGTGATACTTTAAGGACACCTAAAATCCAATACTGATAATCTACGAATAATCTGTCATCATAGTGGTCATTCACACAGCTATAGATGAGGATGGATCGAACAGGTTTTCTGAGTAGACATATATCTTGCTTACACTATAAATGACGCAAGTTGGCGAAAGTCAATAACGCTTTGTGAATTGGTGCCGAGATTTCACGAGAGATCAAACCATCGAGACTAATAAGACTACCAGTAAGAGTGAACAGGTAAACATACTGAGCTACTAACTTGACTCTATATGATAAATTCAAGAGTTGACTGGGTCCGGTAGTGAAGCAACATTTAGCATTTGGAAGGAGGGAATCCTATTTCAACATGTCTGAATCGTTGTTTCAGGTGGTCAGGAGACTGAATTTTGTCAGCTTCTCCACCAAGTAGAATTATGTCATCTGCCTATACTAAGTGAACAAGTGAATCTCGTGCTAGAAAATCAACCCCTGAAAAGTCAAACGATGAAACCGTTGTCTCTGGAGGAATCATGTCCATCCTGACGAATTCAAGTAAAAATGTGGAGAGGACAGTCTTGATGAACATCATTTGAAGTACCCAATTTTGATGACGTTTTGCTTCACCAGTAGTGCTTGAATAGAGAGTTTGTACAAGGTTGATGTACTTCTTTGGTACATATCTCAATGGTAGACACTGCAATAGAACCTCCCGACCAATAGAGTCGAATGCCGTCTGAAGTTCAAGGAATACAACCATAGATGGACGTTGAAGAGTATGTCTATGTTTCAGAACCTGGTGGAGGGTGAATATTCGGTCTGTACATACATTTACGTCTAGGTCTGAAACCAGCCTGGGTTCTCGGGTCCACTCTTCACGAGCTCTAGTTAGATTCGAAGTATGCTTGTTATGTACTTTGGTCTGTCTACCCACTCTTGGTGCTGAGGTTACTATCTAATATAGATTAAGACCTTGGGCGATAGGCTGACCGATCTTACCTTTAGGCTAGTACGCGTGAGTTCGAAACGGAGTAGAGAGGAAACTATTGTATCACCTCATTGGCTGACAAGCACGCGAATGAGAGAAGACAAGACAACTGGAACACTACTCGAACTATTCCTGATTTCAGTTCAGTTCAGTGTAAAAAGGTACACTAATAAATAAGTGAACAACCCGACCAAAACGTATAATAATTTGGAAAAATAAAATTTTGTCCAAAGCTGGGGATTAGAGTAGTAAATAGGGTGCAAAGTATTATGTTTAAATTACAATAGCTTCGGAACAAAAAAAGGGGTATGGCAGTGAATCATACATTGAACAAAAGCTTATGTTCTGCAGAATAGACTAGGGACAAAAATAAATGTCAGTGTTTTACAAGCCTTGAATAAAATGGAATAACGTCCCGAAAAACAGCTTTCGTAGTTTGTCAGGGCTTCTTGTTTTTCTGTTCACAATAATGTTTGAGGGTAATATTTTAGATACTTGATTTGTTAGACTGATTCCTCTGTGGTTATCGCAAGAGGATTTTTATCCTTCTTTATAAACTGGGAGACCAGTCAGGTGGGGTTACCTTCAGTTCCCTGATATTAGTTAAAACTTCAGTTAGTTTAAGTGACAAAACTGGACCACTAACCCAAAAAATCCCGGCGGTTAATCCATCAGATCCTGCTGCTCCCCTCACTTGAGATTGCTTATAGCCGCTTCAACCTTATTGAGAGTTTGCTATTTAGGTTGTATGGAAATGGCAAGTAACAGGGATGTGGTTTGAAGGTTAGTTGAACTTTTCCCTAGAGCGTTCTACCCAGCTGTCCGATCTGTTTGATAGAGAGTGAATTATGGTCCCGTTTTTTTTATCCGGAATGATCTAAGCAACAGCCTAATTTTTAATATCCGTTTCCTTGATAAGTCTACTGTTACCTACCGCTACTGCCATTTCTATCTCTTCTGCTTTCGCTACCCACCACTGCTCATGATCATTGGGTAGGCTTCTTATTAGCTCACTTTTAAGCTGCCTTAACCAATAAAGAATATTGTATCACATTACTGATTATCTATTTTTCTGAAATTCGATTCATCTACATTCACTTGTTGTTTGGACTGCAATTTATCAGTCTCTTGTCAGTATATGTGCATCCTATGCGGATTGATTCGATATTGCTTTAAGTCACATGGTTTATAATCATAGATGAGTGGTGTCTAGCAGTGAAATCCAGGACTCACGTTTCGATTTTCGGATTGAACATCAACTCAGGGATACATGTACATCCAACTGACGAATCTTGAATAGGACGAAACTCGCGTCCTGGCTTCCACTGTTAGCTATCATCGATCTTTGCATATAAAAACCGATTGATCTCAGACCATTGGTTACGATAGTCACGTGGACCCCAACCAAGTAGTCTGCATCATTATGCACATGGGATTTTCTTTTTTTTAATAATTAAAATAGTTCAACTTGATAATTTTCGAAAATAATCACTGAGTTTATTCAGTTCAGTAACTAAGTGAACTTGACCAAAAAATTAACTTTTCTTGTTACAATATTGAGCTATTAGAATAATCAAGTTTGGAGGTGAATTGAGCTGTTTATGTGTTCTATTATTGAGGTATTTTGTTTTAGAGTAATTACAATCATATTAGTGTTATTGAGCAGTTGATACATTCAATCATTAAAATATTATGCTAATCAATCAATTCTCACATTATTGAATTTAGTTT